ACTGTCTCAAAGACAAAGCCCCTTCCAAATTTTAACTTCATATCTGAAGTTGTTACGATCCTTATCAGCTTACAGAACAAATTCCTATCAAACCAGTGATTAAACCACAACAAAATTCATTACTGGTACAAATTCTTAGATGTTTAAAAGATATCTCCTGTGAATATGAATGTGTACATAATTCCAGCTATATGACAGTGGCCAGTAAAGGACCAAGTGTGGACTACACAAACCCGTGTCTGAAGACAAGAACAACGAACACTATTCTTCACTATCACACAAATTTCCCTTGGAATAATAAAGAAATTATCTTATCTGGGCACAATGACATGCCACTAGTCACATTGAAGCAGATCAATCCCACTCCTAGCATGATTGGGTATACTGACTATTATGGATATTTTCACTATTACCATAGTATTAAACCAACTTGTTAACTACTTTAATCAAGGTAATTCTGCCAACAATATCAAAGCCATGGTACCACCCGATGCTACTCAAACTAAAGAAAACTCAATTCTGAAGTTGTAATCTTTGCTGTGAAACAGGTTTGAAATTCATCTGTAACGACAGATTTCTGACATCTGATATGTTTTAATGGTGATTCTTAAAACTTTTAATTATGATGCATACTACTGACAAGGCTATCAGAGTTGGGACTTTTTCACTTCCTTTTGATGTATTACAATCATAAGGTAAGTAATTACATACATTAACAGTTCGACCCCAAGGGAAAAGGGAGATGATTAAATGAATGTGTAAGCTGAAGGCATTCATCAATTCAGTGCTGAGTGAGAATTGTTGTGGGCAAACCAGATTATAACCCATCACTAATCACATGATTAGCAGTACCTTAGACATACCAAATAACCAGGAAACAAAAGAGTATAAAACTTGAAAAAAAGACGCAAAATGCAAGAGTAGTGGTCCATAAACAAGGTGAGGTGAGGTGAGGTGAAATTGGGTTTTACGTCGTGCTTGAGAATATTTCGCTCATATGACGACGTGCATGCGTGTGTATGTGTATGTGAAGCTGCTTGTACAAGCCCAGACTTAAGCTGGTTTTATAGTGCTAGCCCACTGAGATACCATGCCGCAGTGAAGCATGAATACCCCACTCAGACACATTATACTGACTCGAGCCGACCAGTCCTTGTTGTACCCATTAATGCCGAGCGCCAGGCAGGGACCAACAAGTACCATACCTGCTGTCTTTTGGTATGACACGGGCGGGGATCAAACCCGCGACCTTCCGCTCTCCGGGCGGACGCTCTAACCACTACACCAAGGAGGCGGTCACCCATAAACAAGGCCTAACATCTGGTCCCCACGGCCCACAACCTTCATGTGTACCAGTCCTAAAATCACCATAATCAATGAAAAGTACAGGTCTTTGAAGGGCATTTAGAAAAGTACAGGATTTAAGTATTAAATATCAATTATATTAAACAAACTCCACGAACTTACATTTGTTGTTCCCAAACCATATTCTAACCACCAGCATTTCAGAAGAAACTTTGGAGAGAAGGCGGCCATAAGTGGTGCACTTGTGCCCAATCCTTTATCTTTTGGACAATAAAGTATGTTTAAAACAAGAAACTTTTATTTCTTTTGCATGATCAAGGCAGTCATTGAAACAACCATACAGAAAGTACTCTAGAAAACAAAAACAACCTTTCCGACCAAATTTAAGCCATTAATTTTATTTACAGCTACATGTTACAAACACACCCAAGATGTTTGGAGCTACAAATCTTTTCTTACCTAACAACAAATGTCAAGAGAAAACACAGCCTTCATTTCAGGTAAAATGTCTCTAACATAAACTCTCACGAAAGATCATGAATGTCAAGGTCCTTGAATACACCAATATTCCATTATACATTCCAGAATCACATTCTAATATCTGTCCCATCCATTCATATTCAGAGACTTTACAACAGCGGATCATTCATTACCAGAACCACATTCTAACACCTGTCCCACCTATTCATATTCAGATACTTTACAACAGCTGATCATTCATTACCAGAATCACATTCTAACACCTGTCCCACCTATTCATATTCAGATACTTTACAACAGCTGATTGTTCATTACCGGAACCACATTCTAACACCCGTCCCCCCTATTCATATTCAGATACTTTACAACAGCTGATCATTCATTACCAGAACCACATTCTAACACCTGTCCCACCTATTCATATTCAGATACTTTACAACAGCTGATCATTCATTCCCAGAATCACATTCTAACACCTGTCCCACCTATTCATATTCAGACTCTTTACAACAGCTGATTGTTCATTACCAGAACCACATTCTAACACCTGTCCCACCTATTCATATTCAGATGCTTTTACAACAGCTGATCTTTCATTCCCAGAATCACATTCTAACACCTGTCCCACCTATTCATATTCAGATACTTTACAACAGCTGATCATTCATTACCAGAACCACATTCTAACACCTGTCCCACCTATTCATATTCAGATACTTTACAACAGCTGATCATTCATTACCAGAACCACATTCTAACACCTGTCCAACCTATTCATATTCAGATACTTTACAACAGCTGATCATTCATTACCAGAATCACATTCTAACACCTGTCCCACCTATTCATATTCAGATACTTTACAACAGCTGATCATTCATTACCAGAATCACATTCTAACACCTGTCCCACCTATTCATATTCAGATACTTTACAACAGCTGATCATTCATTACCAGAACCACATTCTAACACCTGTCCCACCTATTCATATTCAGATACTTTACAACAGCTGATCATTCATTACCAGAACCACATTCTAATATCTGCCCCATCCATTCATATTCAGATACTTTACAACAGCTGATCATTCATTACCGGAACCACATTCTAACACCTGTCCCACCTATTCATATTCAGATACTTTACAACAGCTGATTGTTCATTACCGGAACCACATTCTAACACCTGTCCCACCTATTCATATTCAGATACTTTACAACAGCTGATCATTCATTACCAGAACCACATTCTAACACCTGTCCCACCTATTCATATTCAGATACTTTACAACAGCTGATTGTTCATTACCAGAACCACATTCTAACACCTGTCCCACCTATTCATATTCAGATACTTTACAACAGCTGATCATTCATTACCAGAACCACATTCTAACACCTGTCCCACCTATTCATATTCAGATACTTTACAACAGCTGATTGTTCATTACCGGAACCACATTCTAACACCTGTCCCACCTATTCATATTCAGATACTTTACAACAGCTGATCATTCATTACCAGAACCACATTCTAACACCTGTCCCACCTATTCATATTCAGATACTTTACAACAGCTGATCATTCATTACCAGAATCACATTCTAACACCTGTCCCACCTATTCATATTCAGACTCTTTACAACAGCTGATTGTTCATTACCAGAACCACATTCTAACACCTGTCCCACCTATTCATATTCAGATACTTTACAACAGCTGATCTTTCATTCCCAGAATCACATTCTAACACCTGTCCCACCTATTCATATTCAGACTCTTTACAACAGCTGATTGTTCATTACCAGAACCACATTCTAACACCTGTCCCACCTATTCATATTCAGATACTTTACAACAGCTGATCTTTCATTCCCAGAATCACATTCTAACACCTGTCCCACCTATTCATATTCAGATACTTTACAACAGCTGATCATTCATTACCAGAATCACATTCTAACACCTGTCCCACCTATTCATATTCAGATACTTTACAACAGCTGATTGTTCATTACCAGAACCACATTCTAACACCTGTCCCACCTATTCATATTCAGATACTTTACAACAGCTGATCATTCATTACCAGAACCACATTCTAACACCTGTCCCACCTATTCATATTCAGATACTTTACAACAGCTGATTGTTCATTACCAGAATCACATTCTAACACCTGTCCCACCTATTCATATTCAGATACTTTACAACAGCTGCCCATTCAATGCCTTTACAACAGCCATCACTGAATACAAAGTCAAATTGCAATAACTGACCGACTTATTCATATTCCATTATATAACAGCTGATAATTCCTTACCTGAATTGGATTCTAATAACTGTCCCAAACTATCCATATTCCATTACAAAAAAGCTGATCATTCGTTACCATGGTTACCAGAATAATATTCTAAAATAACCACCCCATCTATCGATATCTCCATAGAAACATAACTGTGAAACAGCCGGCACTGAAATACAATGGATAAATACCAACACATCCATTCCACAATGTGAGTACAAGAACATAATAATTAAAAGCAAAGGGCACAAAATGAGACTAGCAGAACCAAAACCAGTGAAGTAAGAAAAATGAAATTGAAATCCCATGCAAACTGGTACAGAACAGTCATGCAGATGAGTCTAGGTCTGTATACATCCTTGCACAAGGGAGGGTAGACATACATAGGCAGCGTTAGAAATAACGCAAGTCCCTTCCATGACAATATGCATGGAATATAGCCTATCTCATCCTGCTGGTGGTTTTGATTCGAATAATTTCAGTAAAGGTTCACAGGGATAGAAGTCACAAAAATATCCTTGAAATGTTTGGCACGGAGCATGTAGTAAGGCTTGCATTCCTGGAGCCGAAACATTTAGAAATCTTTTCTGTTGAGCAGATACATACAACTCAATTGAAAATTGTGTTCCATCCCTGGAAATTTCTGGTAAAAATTTCAACATGTGTGTTTCAAAATCGACATCAACATTTTAATATATATATTACATTTTCCAAATCAAATGCACAATCCACTCAAGCAAAATGTTTCCCCGAGATGACAACAGTATAAAAAAAAAATATATAAATAGTGCAAAAATTAAAAGTTTGAAATTTACAGAAGGCTACTTTTTAGGATTGTTTCTAACGCTGTCGAGGGTGGCTTTTTATTAATAAAAGCAACAGATTGACCACATACAAAAACCATATACCTATTTCGGTATGGGTATGGGATTATTCCGATCCCTGGGGGAGAGAAAAAGAAAAAGGAAAAGTTAAGGTTATTCTGAAATTACATACCAAATAACTACATGATGAACTGGAAGAGGAAACAAGAACCTTCAAGGCATACACCATTAGCTGCCATACAACAGAAACTGCTGCTCTTTTGAAACGTGACGAACATGCGCCTCGTTACAAATTTCATTTACAATTTACATCAAAATAGTTTGATCAGCTGATTCAAAAGATTTCCATCAAAAACACTTGAATTTTAATCGTAAAGTACTTGACATTCTTTGTAATGAGAAAGTTGAAGCTGTGAAAGATACTTTCCTGATAAAACTCAAGAATATTTTGTTAATACTGCATGCAGTTTACTTTCCTAACAAAAAACAGACAATGCTTAACTAAGTGAACACACACTGCAGTTATAGGATAGATAACAAAAAAATTAACAATTTGAACCCAGACTCATCTTAGTAATGCAATGGGATTTCTACAAATTGAAAATCTGGAGCAGCTGATGGAGATGAAATACATTTAAACGTATTAGAACCATGAATGTGAACTTTTTAAAATCAAAAATCAATAAGGTTCACTAGCTTTGAAAATCTCAAAGCAATTTTTTCGCATTAGTATGAGGCTGTGAGGCTGAACAAAAACTACAGTCTGTGCCTTAATCCCTGAGCCTGCAGAACTATGTTCATATTTGCAGGATGATGTTCATCAAAGATGAAATGCTACATGAAGAAATTATTACATCTGAAATTTGAATTCATAGCATACAAAGAGTCATGGCTCAGTGAAGAACCCTACTGTTTTGAAGTAAGGGTATGATATGCAGATGAAAAACTTCAATATTTCATCCACAAGACACATTTCAGTCCATTGTTTGCTGTTCAATGCCGCACTCAGCAGTATTCCAGCTATAAGGTTAGTGGTCTGGACCAGCATAAACATCGATCAATGCAATTGGGAACCGATGACATGTGCCAACCAAGTCAGCAAGCATGACCACCCGATCCTGTTAGTCGCCTCTTACAACAAGCATGGGTTACTGAAGACCGATTCTAACGAAGAGTGAGTGAGTGAGTTTAGTTTTACGCCGCACTCAGTAATATTCCAGCTATATGGCGGCGGTCTGTAAATAATCGAGTCTTGACCAGACAACCCAGTGATCAACAGCATGAGCATCGATCAATGCAATTGGGAACCGATGACATGTGCCAACCAAGTCAGCAAGCATGACCACCCGATCCTGTTAGTCGCCTCTTACAACAAGCATGGGTTACTGAAGACCGATTCTAACAAAGATCTTCACGGGTCATTTCAGTGCAGTTCTAAACCATGCTATCAAGACAAGTTTTTAAACCTACAAAGAAATGTCACTCTGAATTGCAATAAAGAACCTGTTCATCCATAAACCATATTCTTACTTCAAACTCCAACTTCTCAATGATGCTCAAAGAAGTTATTTTGAAGCAAATTAAAAGGCACAGACTGCAAATCCGAAACAAATAATTCCCCAATGAAATTAATGCAAACAAGCATTGCAGAATCAACCCAAAGAACCCAGAGATGGAAAGTATTTAACTGCATAATATGCATTTTTTATTAGGCAGAGGGGATGCAGGTATTTCCTCTCCATAATGAACACTGAATTTATAGAAGACTCCGATAACCTTCAGATTTTAGTAATCTTGTGACAAAATATCCAACTGAAAGTCAAAACCTATAACGCAAACAAATGGTTCGAAATAAAGATCCCACAAAAATAAGAAATGATTTTGTCTACTTCTCACCAGAAGCTAAAAACGCTCTATTTTCTTCCACTTTTTTTCCCAGTGCCCTGAGATATAAATTTTAAAAGGTCAATGTAGAGTTCCAGTAACAAGATCATTACACTAATGCACATAGATGAGACAAACACAAAACAGTATCAAGTCTATTGAAAGGAATGCAGAAATTCCTGTTGGTATATCATGTTTTTCATTCAAAAATATCTGAATCATCTCACCTGTGGGTTGAAATCTGGGTCGTCATCTTCATTGTAATCGCCTTCCTCGTCATGCTGAGGACAGAAATAGGCATTAGTGCGGCAGTGCTACACAGACAGGCACACAAGACAGCAAACCACAACACAAGGGCACTCCTAGCAGGGTTACACCCTCTACAAGCAACACCTCCATCAGGAGCAGTGAGGGTAATTCTTTGGTATAGAGAAGAACCTGATTGACTGGCATCCCTGGTAGACTTATGGATTAATATCGGTAGTGAAGCAAGGTATACACGAGAAATTATTTCAAACTCGTGGACAGCTAAGTTTCAGAATCCTTGCATAACACGGCAAGAATGTTTTAAAAAGCAAGCTGTCTGACAGATTAGTACGTATATTGAGCTCTGTCACGTCTCGGCATGCTCAGGGTCCATCAAAAAAATTAGAACATAAATAAGTGACCGATGCAATGGAAATGTTACAGCCCATTTCTTATCCTTTCTTAACATTGCCAAAAACAATCTAACCAGCCTATTGGAATGTCCTCAAAATAAATGACAGTAGTTCAATAACTGGGGACAATCTATTTTGTTCTAGGACAGTTGTTTTGTTGGAAGCCAATGCAATGTTTGGTAAAGTTCTTGTTAGGAAACAGAACAATTATAATGGCCATATTACTGTCATCTTATTGTGTCCAATTATTTTTTAAAATATCCTAATTTTAAGTGGTCAGTGCTACCTATGTACATAACTGAGATACATGTCCTTAAAGAGCAGCATCAGCAGGATATATAAATGCATATGTACCAAAGACATTTGCACCATTACCATTAAGGATGACAGTCAACACGGTTCTACTGTATAATCCTACTCCTACCCAGTCTTCAGCACTGAGTAACCATAACTTTAGAACCATAGAACCACAAAGTCCGTAACAAATATTTACTGATAATACAATGATTCTCAGCTGCTACACAAGCTCAAGAAACAATCCCCTATCTAAAACTCTTGAACAAGTAACAACATTATTTACATACTTTGTCTTTGGCTGTAATCCCAAATGAAACCCAAACAAGAACTCCAAAAATACTCAATTCTCCCTAATTTATATGAACCTGCACTTCAATACTTAGTGTAATAAGCTTTGAAGGTCTTCACTGTGGAAAATCCATGTATTAATAAATTCACAGAAAGTATGTTTTGTTGTCTGTCACCTGTACCAATGTTGTAAACATATAGCGTTTCTCCATCACAATACATCATTGTCAACCAATGAAAAGCAGCAACAAGAGACACCAGTTATACACCAGTTAGGAGGCAACAACTAAATGTTTACAGCTGAAGCACTAAAACCAAAGTTAGGCTACAGAAATCAAAGTTGAGTAGCGCATGGACAAAATCATCCCATATTAACAGCCTCTTACCTCTTCCTCATTCTCTTCCTCATACTGAAAAAGAAATTCAAATAAGTTATTAAATAAATCCATCTATACCCCCTACCCATAATCACTGGTACAGTGAACCAAAGTAATGAGCGAGTGAGTCAAGTTTTACGCCGCTTTTAGCAATATTCCAGCAATATCACAGCGGGGGACAACAGAAATGGGCTTCACACATTTTACCCATGTAGGGAATAGGACCCGAGTCTTCAGCGTGACGAGTGAATGCTTTACCAGTAGGCTACCCCACCGCCCCAATTAATATAAACCATAAGGACAGGCTAGCCATGTGGAATAACATTCAGAATTCTGCACATTAGATATTTTCAAGTTACTTTACTGTCCTTCCTTGTCCAGAAAAATGCATGACATCGTCCAGTGTTCAGAGACAGCAAATATATTGTTGGTCATTGCTTCAACACAATCATTATATTACCTGAAGGAAGGGCTGAATAATTAACAACACATTTTCTTTCTGCACAGCCACAATTTTCTGTTTATAAAGCCAGAGTAAGAATATTTTTCTGATGAGTACTCATGGGAACTAAATATTTTCATTTCTCGTAATAAACACAATATGCTATTAAACACTCCAGTCAAATCAAAGCAAGATGATTTCAAACCTCATCATTTTCTAAAGCTTCTCCAGTAAAATACAACACGGCCCTGGGTACTATCCTCTCCTGAATAAAATGTCCGATTTCAAAATCTGCCGCTAATAAGGCCTCCAAGTCTTCATCCTGAAATACAATAGTAAAATCCATGACACTTTATACAAACCCCATCAGGCATTGAGGGACCAGTTGAAATCCCATGAAACTATGTGGCAAGTTTCATACCATTTTACGCAGGTAATTTCTCAAGAACTATATATGCTGCATGGAATACAGAAATAAGTTGGTAAGATTGAGAACAGCCTGTTTTAATGACAGGTTTCTGACATGCCCAAGGGACACAACTCTGCATAGCTATTACATGAGCTGATTACCTCCCCTCAAAACCAAATGAAAATGAGATGAGTTCATTTTTTATGGTCGTGAACTCACCATGTCAGCTTCTTCACCCTCTGGTACTGAAAATAAAAAGAAGAAGAAAGGTTATACATTGGACACTCTTAGGGCTGTGTAATGGCAAATAAATCATTTTTGCAATATATTAGGAGCTTGAATGTTTGCCAGTGACTAATGACACCAAGTTTCTACATACGAAGTCCCTAAATATAAACGTTGGTTGGATAGTCAGGGTGAGTGAGTGAGTTTAGTTTTATGCCGCTTTTAGCAATATTCCAGCAATATCATGGCAGGGGACACCAGAAATGGGCTTCACACATTGTGCCCATGTGGGAATCGAACCCGGGTCTTCAGTGTGACGAGCTAACGCCTTAACCACTAGACTACCCCATCGCCCCTGGATGGTCGGGGATTTCATGTTCCTATTGTATACAATCTATGCTAAGTAAAGTATGCAAGTGTAGATTTTTATTTAAATCATAGAGAAAATCACAATATTCATAAAATCGGTTCTCAGAAACAATATCGCACCATCTACTGGTGATTCCCTGGTCATGGCCTCATGCTGTATATGTTAGTTGAAATGTGTGAGGTCCGTTTGAGTTTGTTATGACCATATTTAACTGTAGTTTGACAGTAATTCTTATACTTTGTACCTGATGGGGGGTTGAAGAAATTGAAGAAGGAATCATTCTGTACAGTTTTGGTGACTGTGCGAGTCGTGCCTCTGCCCTTGTGTTTCTGCTTCTTCTTCACCACTTTCACAGTCACATTCTTGCCTTTGTTCCAGCTGATGTTGCAACTGAAATGAATTCTTGCCATTAAACCCAGGTTCAAAATATCTCTCTGGACATTATGACATGGAATTCAAGATAAGTGAGTGAGTTCAGTTTTATGCCTCTTTTAGCAATATGCCAGCAATATCATGGCAGGGGACACCAGAAATGGGCTTCACACATTGTACCCATGTGGGGAATCGAACCCGGGTCTTCGGCGTGACGAGCTGGACGCTTTAACCACTAGGCTACCCACCGCCCCTGATTGCAGATAAACACCTAAAAATAATTCTAGTTTCTACACAGAAGGATAGGGTTTTTTTCCCTTGAATCTGTGCCAAGTTACATTACTTTTCTCCAGAATCTCAAAATTTAACTAATTTACATGACACAAAAAACTCAGATATTAAGTTTAAAAACATCAAATTTCATCTTATGACAGTTCAGTGATGCCATGCCATCAGCTTGATGTTTATTGCTGCACTCAAGAATATATGACAGCGGTCTATAAATAATTGACTTGACTATACATTACAGTGAATGAAATAATGAACATCAATCTTCACAACATTAATGAACATCAATCTTCACAACATTGGGATACCACGATCTGCATCTACCGCATCACCAAGCCTGACCACTCTGTCCCATGAATAGCCTCCAACCACAAGTATGGGCTTCTGGAGATCAATTCTAACCCAATCTTAAAAGGAGTTGAGTGAGTGAGCTTAGTTTTACGCCGCTTTTAGCAATATTCCAGCAATATCTCAGTGGGAGACACTGGACATGGGCTTCACACATTGTACCCACGTGGGGAATCGAACCCAGATCTTAGGCATGATGAGCGAACGCTTCAAGCACTAGCCTACCACACCGCCCCTAGACTTAAAAGGAATAAATCATTTTGCTTAAATCCCAAAGCAGCATACTTACCCCTGGCATTTGATTATTTCGGGGCCTTCATACGCAAGTGGGTCTTGCGTGTCTGGCTCGAACCTCATTGTGTACTGCTTTGTTAGCAGTGTCTCTGTGAAATACTCATTTGCTTCAAAGTAAAATTCCAAAGTAAATCCCTGCAACAGAAGACAGAAAACAACTTAAAAAATTATACCTCTTCTAAAAATTTTACCTACATCAATTAACATGACATTTGGTTGGTTGGTTTGTTGTTCAACGCCGCACTAAGCAATATTCCAGCTATATGGCGGCGGTCTGTAAATAATCAAGTCTGGACCAGACACATCAATGGCCAACAGCATAAACATCATTCTACACAACTGAGATACAATGACGTGTCTACCAAGTCAGCAAGCCTGACCACCAGATCCTGTTAGTCGCCTCTTACGACAAGCATTGGTTACTGATGGCCAATTCTAACCCGGATCTTCTTGGGTAATTTACATGAGAAGCAATGGTTTTACAGATCTGCTATGGAAAGGAGAACTACCACCAATTTCAGTCAAAGTTAAACTTGTTGCCATGGAAAACCAAAAAATATTTTAAGAAATCCAAAACTACCAAAAGGCACTAGTTCACTACCAAACCTATGGATGTGCCAAGTTTGGTGAAGAAATTTTGAACGGTTTTATGTTCTGCTCCGGAAAAGACAAATTTGCACGGACCCATGGACGGACTGTGTCCATTTTAATATCCCCCATAAAACGAATTGCGACGGATATAAAATATAGGAAGGTTAAGCGCACATGCAAAAAGCATTATGCAACCCAATACTGTATTTCAGACTGTTAATTTAAACACACCTAAACATATGTCATCTTGTCTAGGAACAGTAATGACTGTATCTAATCTCTCACTCTATTAATATGTAACAATACTAGGCAACAACTGCACAGGAGTGGTAAATTGTATTGCAAACTTGCTTCCATGAACAAGCAGCATGTAATATAATCTATAAGACATTTCTCCACACTATGCATGTGAAATCAGTCTCAATGGATCTCCCACAGAACTTCAGAAGGTATTATTTGCAAGATCAATACCGGCTACTGCAACATGTTACATTCTAATTCACTGTCTACACCTGTTACTTCGACTGCTGCTAATGAATAATCACCATCTATTATTGCCCCTTAATTGAGCTGAACAAAGCAACTCCCGCCAATAATTGTGACATTTTGCAACTTGGCATTTCTGGTGACATTCGTCAGAATTATATTTAGCCTTTTCAAGCAGGAGCTGTTACACAGGATATGTGAAATACCCTCCCCTACTCACCTGAGGTATAATGATAAAGGGAGGTGGTATGGGTATTGAAGGTTTAAAGTGTATTACAAGATATAACAGCAAGTCTCCTGGTGTGTTGGTAAAGCGTTGGACTTGTGATACAATATATTGTGATACATGAGGTCGTGTGTTGCGATATGTATTACAATATACTGCATAATTCAAATTTTGTATTCAGAAGCAATCTGACACATCATTGTATTCATTGTAGTTCATAAATAAAACAAAATGCTGGTCATAATGGCAATGGCACATTACAGCATTTTGGAATTACTCGAATTACACCATTTCGAAGGTGTTCAGCAAGTGTGCAACACATGATGAACTTCACCATTTCAAACCACACAACATATTGAGCATTTAAAAATAATATTTTGACATACGTAGAAAGAATGAACCTCAATAAACTGATAAACCAACACTACCACACATCCTTTCGATACGACACCTATCCATCCACATACTATGGGGTGATACGACTCGTATCCCAATACAGTACTTATATCTCATGAAATCCTTTCTTTCTGAAGGTCCATGATGATCCTTTCATGCTCTATTCAAAAGAGTGAGTGAGTGTGTTTTGGTTTTACGCTTTTAGCAATATAACAGCAATATCAAGGCAGGGGACACCAGAAATGGGCTTCACACTTTGTACCCATGTGGGGAATCGAACCCGGGTCTTCGGTGTGACGAGCGAACGCTTTAACCACTAGGCTACCCCACCGCCCCTCTATTCAAAAGATGTTGGGAGGACATCACCAAAGATAATTATCTGCCTTAGAGGTATCTCAGGTTTGTTCTATGCTGCAGCTGGAGATCCTTTCAAGTTCAATATAGTTATACTAGTGGTAGGTATGATGCAGCCATATCAAATTAGAAAGAAGTTCAGAGGTGTCCTAAACCTGCTTGAACAAAACAAAAAGTGTACCGTGTATGTATTTTCTGGTACTTTTATTCAGTTCAATTGTAAAGGAAAATAAAGAATTGAGAACTGGTTTAGCTTCATGAGTGAGTGAGTATGTTTTACGCCGCTTTTAGCAATATTCCATCAAAATCATGGCAGGGGGACACCAGAAATGGGCTTCACTCATTGTACCCATGTGGGGAATCGAACCCGGGGTCTTCGGCGTGACGAGCAAACGCTTTAACCGCTAGGCTACCCCTAGCTTCATGAGGAATGAAGCCTCTGAAGAATCTAAGGAAGCCCCCACCTTCAGGGTCACTTCACAGCACCTCATTTCAAATTGATATGATACCTGCGTTTGCCTCATTGCCACCAACACAGTGTACTCACCATAGGTTCTGATTCAGAGAACTTGACTTTTATATCTTGAAGATGTTGGAGTATAGGTTCATCCTGATCCTGAAAGCAAAACTGGTATCATGGACCACTGTTTCATGCCTGCAGACACATTTGTATGAATTGTTGAAAGTTGACCTTCAACTTATCCTGACCAAAGCACTCAAGCAGGGTGACTCCTAAAATATGGATAAAATAGAGAAAATCTAATCCATCTTTCTTGTGACATTTTTTTAATCAAGTGACCTTCACCTTTGACCTTCTCACAACACGTATCCTACAGGGTCATATGGAGTGAGTGAGTTTAGTTTCACGCCGCTTTTAGCAATATGCCAGCAATATCACGACGGGGGACTCCAGATTTGGGCTTCACACATTGTACCCATGTGGGGAATCAAACCCGTGTCTTCTGCATGACGAGCAAACGCTTTAACCACTAGGCTACCCCACCGCCCCGTCATATGGAGGAAGTCTATGAAGAACATTTAATTTCAACGATCATCAGAAAATCAGCAGTAGTGGTCAAACTCAAACTAAAACTGATTAGCTGTGATATTTAAAGCCCCAGATTCAATTCTGCAATACACATACCTGGACCATTTCTGACAACATATCTACATTCTTGAAAACTGTTAACCAAAAGTGAGGGACTCCCTTTGCATCACCTGGAAACAAATACATGGAGTTAAATAAACCTTAGGATGATACAAGCACCATGGTCAGCATTATCCAATTTCATCATAGCTACCTGAGACATGCAGTGGCTGACCGCACTAGCATCAAAGCATTATGGCACACCAAAAATAAGTTCACACTTGTGGCCTTTTACGGCAGATGAGTGAGTTTGTAGGGTTTTACACCGTTTTTAGCAAATATTCCAGCAATATCATCAAGGGACACCAGAAATATTTCACACATTGTACTCATGTGAGGAATCAAACCAAGGAATTCGGCATGACAAGCGAACGCTGTAACCACGGAGCTACCCCACAGCCCCTTTAACAGCAAGTATTAATTTTTGTGGACCTTAATATTCTGTCAATATATCCTCCCACATGCAACCATATGGAACACTGTTAAACTGAACAGAATTCTCAACTCCTGAAATTGTAAAGGATTGCATTTCAGTACTGTTGTAAGCTGCAGGCCAGATCAATAGCTGGTGAGCATGACCACATGATTGATTAATCAGGGGTAGCTGGAGAGAGGTTAAACTTCCCAAGTGGTTCAGGATAAATATCCACCATGTACTCACTCTCTTCCTCCTTCTTGTCTTCTTCCTTCTTCTCGTCTTCAACCTTCGCCTTATTCTTCATATCCTCCTTGCCGGAAAGAGAGGATTAAAATGTCAGACAAGTGTAACTAACACACCATATACATGGAGATTTTACAGCCACTTCCATTAGTAGATTCTGCATACTGACGAGGCTGTACCCTATTTATCTACAGAAGCGAACTGTATTATAACTATACTAACGTCTTAGTGACTGTAATATTTACTGAAATATAGCTGGAATATTGCTGAGTGCGACATTAAACAACAATGACTGACTGAGTTTGGTTTTACGCCGCTTTTAGCAATATTCCAGCAACATCACGGCAGGGGACACCAGAAATGGGCTTCACACAATGTACCCATGTGGGGAATCTAACCCGGGTCTTCGGCGCGACAAGCCAACACATTAACCACTAGGCTACCCCACCACCCCCTAAAGAACAATGCATCAACCTTAGTAACTTTGTATGTGACCAATTAGAACTTTTCATTCAGTCAGCAGTATTTTTAGCGATTAATACAAAAGACTAAAAAACAGTCCAAGACCATACAACTCTTTAATGTTTACATTATTACCCTGTCAAGCCATTAATCGGATGATCTCTAACTTCTGTTGTAATAGTGGGGTGTAATGCATCTTGTGGGGAGTAAAGCGGTTGACCATTGTTCATTTTCCACGTTAGTGGTGGTCCGATTAATTGAAATAATCGAAGATTGGTCGCAGTATCTAAACGACCAAGAAATCGATCATGTCTTCTAATAATCGAACACAAGCAATTCTGGAACACTTGTTTTCATAAACAATATTTTTCACAAGGTTGGTTTTGTCTGTTATATTTCATAAGCACTACAAGCTCGTTTCAAGTCATGATTGAATTTATCTTAAAGACTCCAAGAAATTTATGTTCCTGACATACTAGTCATCCTTTAAAGATGTGAAATCTTGCCCAAAAATACAAAAGAACTACGTTTTTTCCATATTTTTATGTGCATTAACAAATTTCTTTAATGACGCTAACCAATTTTTTTCGATGATTGATCGGTTGTAATAAACCAATCATCAATTATGAGATTTTAACCAATTCCCAACACTATTCCACGTAGGTCACAGAAACCAGTCACTAACTGGGTCATCATTAACTTTGGACGTGTTGTCCTTCAGGGTCGTGTTTCACTCCCTACTACTTACAGCCAGTTCCTCGTCATCTTTCTCATCCTCACTCGGCCAATCACACTCATCTTCTGTAGGCTCTGTTATCCCATTTAAAATGTCTTTTCTCTGTAAATTAAAATGAGAGTGTGTGGTTTTAAAACTGCTTTGAGCGGCGAGCCAGATTTAGTACACCAGCAGAGGCCCAGATAAGCTGCGTATCCAGGTAAAATATGCATAGAAAATTTCCAATTAGGCATTGAAAAATAATTGTTGCGTACCAATTACGCATTTAAAATGTTAGATATGCAAAAAGTTTAAAACAAATGCGTACGGAATACATTATAAAAATCGCTTGCGTAATGAAAAAGACATCGATTGCTATCAAGTTGTACTGTTAGTATAGGACAAGTGCTGCACTGTCCATTTAGGATGAGGGATTTTTTATGAACTCATTTCCATTATATTTAAGTTGGTTTTGATTAGGTATGACATAGTCATAAGGCAGAACATACCTGCTTAGTAAACTTACTCAGTCACAGAATACTTAGGTGAGTAAAATGACTGAAATACGCACATATTTGAAAGCAGTGGGTAACGGAAAATGAAATACCCACTCAACATTCATATTACGCACTCCAAAAAAATACAGTGGGTACAGTACCCACATGAGCTAAATCTTATCTGGAGCTCTGCACCAGGGTCTCGAACGGAATAGAGTAACTTGGTGGATCATCAAAATATATATAGATACATCAAATCTATAGCAGAGGATGATAATAAAAAAACAAACATACTTTGTTATGAAAAGGTTGTGAAAGAACACATAGGACAATGTGGACACATATAGGGTCAACCAAAAGTATGACAGGCATTAGAAGAGGGACATTACATTCACTACATTTTGGACATGAAAAACCTCTCACCACAATACAAGCTATTTGTATTCTGTTAGCATAAAAACATCTCCCACTGCTTTTAGTCAGTGCTGTGATAATGCATTATGCATAACAGAATAATGACGGTGATATCAACTTACCTTGTCAAATAGAGACACATATTTGGATGCGTATTTACACTCAAGAGAATGAACTTCCTTGTAGAACTCAGACTCCAGCTTGACTACATCAAACTGTAGTTTCTTTAGAGCCTTCAGACGCCGCTTCACCACCTTCGGCAAACTGAAATAATAATAATGTGTATGGTTTAACAGCATTTTTAGCAATATTTCAGCAATATCTCGGCGGGGACACCAAGAAATTGACCACAAACATAGTACCGATTTGGGGAATTGAACCTGGTTTACGACATGACGACTTAACCACTAGGCTCCTGAACCCACAATTACGAGGACTTAAACAAGGATACCAGTTGTCCTGATGACCTTACCATACACTGTTCCCCGAAATCCCAGTTTTTGATATTTTAGAGCTTAGGGAACAGAGAAACATGTCTTAATTTATGGTTAAATATCATGAATATTAAACATCTTGTTATTCCAAATCAAATCAAACCCCTGGTTAAAATTTGTTTCCAATTTTGATCAGTGTTTGTATTTTTACAAAAAACAATAGATGTGAGTGAGTGAGTGAGTTAAGTTTTACATCGCTTATAGCATAATTCCAGCAATATCACGGTGGGGGACCCCAGAAATGGGCCTCGGTGTGACGAGCTAACGCTTTAACCACTAGGCTACCCCACCGCCCCACAATAGATGAATGGAAAGGCAGGGCTCCAGATAAGGGTCGTATCGGCGTATGTACGGATAAAAAATTTGCACGATACGGTAGGAAATAATTGATAAACGTAGCAGATACGCACCACGGCAATGGCGTACGGTCTTAGAATTATTTACAGAGGTATTTATCTGAAAAAGTATTGTTTTATTGTTTATTGACCTGTTTACACAAGACTAGCAATGTTGTGGTGCATATATGAAACGAAACACAAGATTCAGTACTCTAAATGTAGGCTTAAGGTTTTCGAGTACTCCTATATTGAAAAAAAAAGGAGTACGTACTCCTGGTGTTCAAAAATTATCTGGAGCCCTGGAAAGGTATACATGGTTGTGTCATCTACTGTTATCGAGTACATTTGGAAAGACTTCTGCCCGTATCCCCTCTTAAATTTCATTCTAGTCAACTCATATCACCTGAATATACATTCCTCATCTGATAAGGATGAGTTTTAACGCGTTTCTTTTATGGTATCTGAACGTACTGAAAAACATATCAAACTTCTAGAAATGTTTCCTCATCGTTAAAATTGCTGTAGGAAGAGTTCCCTACACTGAGTGTGCTCTGGTGATTTATTTCTACTAAATAAATATCATGGTTGATTATAAAATAAATATATCCTATTTCACTATCATCAGAGAGAAATTCATATTTTTTTTTATCTAAGTTCAAATGTCTCTAAACATACAAAAAACTACAAAATACAAAAACAAAATATGAATACACACCTTTAGAGTCTCTATAAAAGACATGTAAGCTAAATGAGTTTTGTGCAGTGGTTTTTAAGGAGAAGTGGATGAACTACACCCCCTGTTGTATGGGACGCACAGGATGAATAGAATCAAATTCAACTAAGTTCAAACATCTGTAGAAGTGACAAAATTAAGAAATTGGATGAACAAGGTATGAGATGCACACCTTTAGAGTCCCAATGAAACACACGTAGAAGCTCAATCAATTCTGTTGAGCAGCTTTTGTGGAGAAGTGGATAGACTTCATCCCCTATAACACTATATTCAGAGAGAAATTCAACAAAATTTATGTAAGTTCAAACGGCATTAAAATTGGAAAAATAAATAAAATACAAAATCAAAATATGAGATGCATGCCTTTAGAGTCCCTATAAATCACATGTGTAATCTAAATGAATTCCATAGAGTAGTTTTTGAGGAGAAGTGGACAACGTACACCCCCTGTTGGATGGAACGAACAGGCTGAATAGAACAAAATTCAACTAAGTTCAAACATCTGTAAAAGTGACAAAATTAAGAAATTGCATACAAAATTATGAAATGCACACCTTTCAAGTCCCTACGAAAGACATGTAGAAGTTCATTCAATTCTGTTAAGCAGTTTTTGTTGAGAAGTAGATAGACCTATTACACTATCATCATAGAGAAATTCAGCAAAATGTACCTAAGTTCAAATGTCTCTAAACTTACAAAAAAAAAACAAATAAAATACAAAAACAAAATATGAGATGCACACCATTAAAGTCCCAAGAAAGCCCATGTATATGTTCATTGAATTCCACAGAGCGTTTTTGTGGAGAAGTGGATAGAGTACATTCCCTGTTTTGTACGGATGGACACGGAGGGTAACCCTATATGCCCCCTGCCATATATGGCGGGGGCATAAAAATCAATAGTCCAAAAGCATAATACCAACAACAAAAATTCAGATTTTACATGTCATCTGGCCTTGTAACCTGAAAAATGTAACTTGATTGAAACACACACACACACACAACCCAGAAAAGGCCAACCTGAAATACACCCCTCAAATTTCAATTGCGATAACATCGTTTTCCTTGTGATGTCCACATATTCTCGTCCTTAGTTAATATTCAGTACTTAATAGCATAAATACCACATACTTACTACCTATGAATATTAACAAGTCTCACAATTAGAACAACACAAATAAAAACATTTTTTAAAAATAAAAAGATAAATGGTATCAGCTGTTAATTAAGGGAAGTAATTCAATATATTGCACAATATTCCATAATTCCTATGCAATACATATATAATCTTACCCTATAGAACAAGTACATACACCTTTACAAGACGATACAACATAATGGAGAACCTTGTCCTCCAGGGAGGCGAGATCTTGTTCAACATAACTAACACAACTTTCATTAAACCCATCAAACCTCATAAACAATACTTACTTTGCAATCATTTCATCAATTTCATCCAATTTGTCAGATAAAGTACTCATTGTGGATGTGTTGGTCCTGACACCTTTTCTCAACCAGTCTTTCCCAAGAACTGACGTACCCTACCACGCACACATACACAACACAATTATTGATTCTCTCCCTTCAATGGAGATTAAGTTCATAACACTGGCCAATCCATATTGTCATCAATAAGTGGCAACATCTGTACCTCCCGAAACTATAATTACAGCTTTATATGTGCCAAATGCATGTCGTAAAGCTGAAATTACAAACCCAGCTTCACAATTCATCTAAAGAAAGTGACTAACTATAAATGACGACAACAGTCAACAAGTTCCAGATGGCTTTCCCTCCTTTCATATCGCTCACTTAAAGAAAACTACACGTACTTCGGCACTCCACTACATATATTCACAAACAAGAGGCCTCGGAAATATTCTCATCTCATCCTGGCTACGAGGTATCTTTATCTACATTTATCTTAATTAGTCATTTGGTTAAATTTGTATTTTGTCTGTATTTTTGTCTGGTTAGGATAACATTGTCAACATATGCGAAATTACGACGAATAATGTTCAACCGATCCGTAGTTAACATTTATATCTAGCTCCCTCTAGAACAGCTTGGGCAGCCAGTTGTTAATGCAGCGTTTCAATCTTTTCCCATAGTTCAGTGCCAGAATTAAACTGAAGCATTAAAGGAATTTTGTTTGAACATTTCTTTCCCGTTTTAGTACCTGATGAATTTAAAAAAACAAACAGATGCAAACAAAATATATTATTATTTATTGAATTATTCACAATACATCCTTGTAGATTCAGTTTGTGCTATAAATCTGATCCAGAAAGTGAAAACATCTTGAATTAGTTCAAATTTGGCCATACTCTTTGGCTTTGACACGTTAAGCTAGACCTTTTTAACAAGTTGTCTAACATGTGACTTGTAAAGTAATTCTAAGGACAGGAAGGGATTGTATTTCCCTTTTGCTCCTACAAAGTTCTTTACTTGAAGTGAAGACAAGCATGATGGCTTCCTTGACGTCCCATCTCCCAAAATCAAAGCAGTAATACAGTGATAATGATTATTTTTCTTCAAAGTGAATTTATATACTTCCCCTCTCCTACCTATGGTGTAATCATCGACAAGGAAATTAAACTTAACTATCGACTTCTGTTGAAGTGGGTTGATCACTGGATTGTCTGGTCCAGACTCGATTATTTACAGACCGCCACTATATAGCTGGAATATTGCTGAGAGTGGCGTAAAACTAAACTCACTCACTCACTCACTGTTGAAGTGACCATTGCACATGTAGATTACGCAGCTCACCTCTGTATGTAGCCTGATGGTGTGCCAACGATGCTGCCCAGCTTGTCCTGAATGGCTGCTAGGACATGGGGGTTCTGCATCATGGTTGACAGGGCGTTTGCAGTCTGGGCATCATCTGGAATATCAGAACACTCTTAGCTTACCTGTATCACCTTCAGCAAAGCCGACCGAGTCAGCCATGGCTACCTCACCACCTCTCACAGCAACCGGCACCAGAGCATGGCTCCAAGTTGCTAGTGAATTGGTCACATTTGCAGGTAAAATTTGAGAAATACAACCAAATGATATGTAACACTTAGCCTTTGGCGAGAGAGGTAAAAATTCAATTAAATTAAGGCAGTTATTCCAGTTTTCATCATAAATAATTCCGACCTCGATTCAATTAAGAATTATTGTCAATGATTGATAGGTTTAGCTATGACTGACTTACCGATCTTCAAGAGTCTAAAAGACTATTTACAAAATATTTATTAACATTGATCTCTAATAGTGGAACTTAGTAAATTTGACAATATCTGAACAATAACTGAAAATCTATATGGCAACTAACATTAAAGTTTGGCTAGTAAATTCTAATTTTCACATAGCTAATAACAAGGAAGCGAAAATATGAACTTGGAGCCCTGCAGAATAAACTACAACCAGCATGTCCACTCAGTACTGGATTTATGGATGACCAGGCCATTCCAGGTATCTCCTTTAACGAAGAACTAGCAGGTAAGTGGCTGTGTCAAACCCTGTGACACTGTGATTCTAATATCAACCTGGGTTTTACCTCGACTACAAACATCAGGGTCCCCCGGGACCCCCAATTATTAATTTTAAGGGTCCTTGAGGGCCATATAACAGTCCTGTGAAGGAACAGTGTAGAGAACTCTATGTTTTGATACTTTCTTGAGAGCCAGGAATGAATCATTGATCATGTGGACTGATGGATAAAATAAGCAACCACTTAGCAAAGTCATAGATGTGTTGTGGGTACAATGAATATGGAGTGATTTTTTTTCTGCGTCTATTTTCTACATATGTGCGCACTGGGCAAAGCAGGGCTCGATTTATGAGATGTTAACCTACTTGCACCAGGTGCAACCTGAGATAAAAACCTAGTAGCACCAGCCAAATTCCAGTTGCAACGTAGTGTGTTAAGACCTCAGGGGTTTCAGTGCACAAAAACATATATCTGTGATGTTGTACCAATGAAACCATAGCAACACAGAGACACTACTGGTTTCAGTTTATTGGAGCTGTCATAGCCAAGAGGTGTTTATAAATAGCAATGTTTTGGTGCCATTGCTATTCAAAGTTTAGAAGAAATATGAGCCGACATATTTATGCTTTTAATGTTAGATTTATTGTTGATTTATTTTTTGAAACTTGACTTGCACCTGGTGCAAGTTAGACTAACAAGAAGACAAAGTCATCAATATCCCCCGCAATGGCAAAATACTCTTCATGATTATGTCTACGAGTTATGATTATGTCAAATATTTAGGTGAGTATATAGAAAAGTGGAAGGAGAGTTTTGAAAGGTTTTTAAAGTTCTGCTCCAGAAAGGAGCACTATCGCCAATTTCAGTCTAAATCAAACTTGTTGCCATGGAAATGCCAATTATATTTTATTAAGAATTCCAAAACTACCAAAAGGCACCAGTACACCACCAGAACTATGTATGTGGCAAGTTTGGTGAAGAAACATTGAACGGTTTTAGGGTACTGCTCCGGAAAAGAGCACTACCACTAATTTCAGTTTTAGTCAAACTTGTTGCCATGGAAATGACAAAAAAAAATTATTCAGAATTCCAAAACTACCAAAAGGCACCAGTACACCACCAGATCCATGTGTGTGCCAAGTTTGGTGAAGAAATATTGAACGGTTTTAGAGTTCTGCTCCGGAAAAGACAAATGTGCACGGACAGACGGAGTCCATTTTAATACCCCCCTCAAAACGCGTTGCGGGGATAATAACTAGGTTGCACTTTGTAATATTGGGTTGCACCAGTGCAAGTAACAGCACTAAATCGAGCCCTGCAAAGTGAGGTGAGGTATGGGGTTTCACATCGTACCTGAGAATATATGACTATGTGCATGCATGTGTATGTGAGGCTGCTTTTACTAGCCCAGACTTAAGCTGGTTTTATAGTGCAAGCCCACTGAGATACCATGCTGCAGTGAAGCATGAATACCCTACTCAGACACATTATACTGACTCCGAGCCGACCAGTCCTTGATGTACCCATTAATGCCGAGCGCCAGGCAGGGACCAACAAGTACCATATCTTAACATCTTTTGGTATGATGCAGCCGGGGATTGAACCCGCGCCCTTCGCTCTCTGGGCGGATGCTCTAACCACTACACCACAGAGGCGGTTTACTGGACAGGGCAAGTACAGTAAATGAGTAACAGGTAAGTAACAGTTCAGTTCAAGGGAGGTAACCTACCATCTGCCTGTTCTTCTCCGGACTCAACCTCCTCAACTTCCTCTTCCCCTTCAGCTGGTGGTTTACTGAAAACATCAGGAATACCATCAAATATGTTCTGCTCTTAACAAGTGAATCAGCAAACTTGACCACTTTCTTTTCAAACTGAGACTTCAGTGTCTAGGTTCAGAGTTTGGACTTTATTTAACTGTATGCACAACCTTATCATAATAAACAGGTGTGGCAGTAAGATTGCTGAAAAAAACTAATGCATTTCTAATGCCTTTCAGCCCCCATTTTCAACTTTGGGTCACCAAAATAAATGAACCAATGTTTCCAAATATCGGGAGCTCAGAATAATGATACTGGTATTAAACAATGTTTTAAAAACATAATGCCAAAGACAAAAACGCAAGCGCCAAGGGCACCTGTTTAAAACCTTCTTAAAACTGAAAGATTTCAATTTCAAACCCAGTTAGAGACAGCCTAAAAGATTTCAGGGACACGCTCCCCAAAATCCAATTTCGCAAATTAACTGGCGGCCCATAAAATGACACAGGTACTTATTAGGTATGAAGATATCATAATTTCTATCTTCGTAAAAAGATATAGACAGTTTACTAGAGGAAATCTGTCAATAAATTTAGACAGTCTAGCATGCCCAAGTCAAACAGTGTTGACGTGAAATGTGCTCAGCTAAACGCTGCCCAATAAAACACACTGACATCAGCCAGAATGATGTGTGAAAATATATCATACACAAACATGGTCCAAGTTTGAAGTATCGTGTTGCCCATTCTTCACACAACACCTTGACAATCCAATAATAAAACATTCAGACCACAAAACTTCAGCAGGGTTCTACCAGATGCACAATAGCATATCCTGCATAAAAAATAAATAATACAGAATGGATGCACAAAATATCTACTTAACACAATAGGGTGTATGTCGGTATGACTGAATCTTCAAAAACTATCAGAGTTAATAACATTCAAATATTTCTCCTCTGATGGAAATACAATCAAAGTTCGAACAGTCCATGTCAGACAGGTTTCACTCACACTAAACAAAGACATTTCCCATCTAATCATTACGGCATCAGACATACTCAGATCATTTCCTATTTTACAGAGAGTATCGACACGTGAAGATCTGGGTTAGAATTGGTCTTCAGCAACCCATGCTTGTCGTAAGAGGCAACTAACGGGATCAGGTGGTCAGGCTCTGTCACTTGGCTGACACATGGTGGTATCGTATCCTAGTTGCTTAGATCTATACTCATGCTGCTGATCACGGGATTGTCTGGTTAGACCGCCGCCACTTAGCTTGAATATTGCTGAGTACAGCATGTAACAACAATCAATCAACACAGAAAGTATCCTATTTCCAGATTTCCTTGCATGCTTTGTACTGCACTTTAGGGGAAATTCCGGGAATAAATACTTAAACACTTTAATGTGTTCCTTTTTTAGAGGGGCGGTGGGGTAACATAGTGGTTAAAGCGTTGGCTCGTCATGCCGAAGACCCCGGTTCAAATCCCCACATGGGTACAATGTGTGAAGCCCATTTCTGGTGTCCCCCACTGTGATATTGCTAAAAGCAGCGTAAAACCAAATTCAGTCAGTCAGTCCTTTTTTAGAGTCCATCAGCATATTTTATTTGCTGTTCTTACAGCAGTTGCTTTGGGACACCAATTTTGAAGAAATCTAAAATGAATTTACAAAGGTCCCAGGACCTAAGAATATAGAAATAATAAGAATATAGAAAAAAAAACACAAAAAAAACCCAAACAAAACAAAACAAAACAATCACACAAAAAATCAGATGTGTACACAAATTTGTAATTGAATCTTAACCTGAGAACTATTAACCTGTTTTCAGAAACAAACCACCTGTACCATGTACATAAGACAATTTAAAATGGCCACAAGCTGGAATAATTCTGATCTCTGACAAAGACAATGACCCAGAAAGGTTTCTCCAAACATACATCAAAAGCCAAAAATGAGCCTTTACCTGTCCACACAAAAATAACAAATAATGTGACTACAAACACAACAGCAAATCCTGAATAATACTGAATTAAAATCCTCAAATAATTCAAGAAAACTCTTATTATCCAAAGCGATAATTTTCCATGACACTATCATCCATGGAAATGTTTCAAATGTGGCTGAGACCTAGAACAACGGCACATGAAGAGTAAAATCACGAAACTGCCCTAATGCCCTTTGTATTCATTTAACTGCCTGTGCTTCTACTGTTGGCATTATTATGCAGCTCATGTAAGCATAAATTGGTATGCACATACTGCCTGTTAACTGTACATTCGCCACAAACAGTATGCTCCAAATAGTGACAACATTCTTGATGTGACACAAGGCCTAAAAAAACTTGTTGCGGTTCCAATTACCCGTCCGACCCTTGAATTCTGGTGCCGACCTTATTTTTTTTAAGGCGATATGAATAAAATACACTTTCGGGTTCCATTGTTTTTTTCTGGCATCGACGGACATTGGTCATTCTGATAGAAAAAGTTGACATGATGGCTGAAAACTTGATTGAATAAACAATTACACATTGATAAATGTGTTATTAGTTTGTACTTTACTTCTAAAAAAATGTAAAAAAAATAATACTACCTACCCTTAATTTTAAAGAGGTGTAATTGGAAAAAAGTATTAAATATGCCGAAATAATTGCTGTCAGTCATTTCATACAAATGGAAAGTAATACACAAGTATCATGATAAATGCCAAATAACACAACAGAAATACTTAAAAGGGAATGTAACTTTTGTCCAAGCTGGGAAATGTCAACATGCGGTCGAGACTTCCTCTTCCATGTGCACATGCTCAAAATCAAAGTTGCAGGCACTTCGTTGTTTTTATGCAGTTTTAGCGATTTAAAGTTGCCGTTTTTAGAGTTTCAGTAGCGAGGTATTATGTTTATGTTGCTATTTCCTCGATTAATGTGGGTGTTTTTCTGCACAGTGGCAAAGTTTTTTTGGGTAGGCCTGATAGTGTGTTCAGGAAATACAACTCAAGTTTGCAGATATACAGGATGTTAACTGATGGAATAAGAAAACCCCTATAAATTGAATAATTATTATTTCGAAGGATGCCATTATCCTTCGAAATAAATTGCATTTCTATCTATCATGTTACAGCAATTTTAATATTACAGTAGTTTTAAAATTAGTGTGTGCAGGTAGTGATCTTCTGTGCGCTGTGACAGCTTAAGCCTAAAATCGATAAATGATTTAATGACACGTTCTATATTATCTGGGAGATTAAAACTTATCTATTTTAATTGTATTTAATGACTTGTATATTTTGTGTATTATAAAATTTTGCAGTCTATTGCGTTGTATATGCTAAATTTCAGAATATTCACACCATTTGTTCTATTTTCTTTGGAAATGGACCCGTGAAGATCCAGGTTAGATTATTGATCTTCAGTAACCAACGCTTGTCGTAAGAGGCAACTAACGGGATCTGGTGGTTAGTAGTGTTGGGAATTGGTTCAAATCTCATAATTGATGATTGGTTCATTACTACCAATCAATCATCGAAAATAATTGGTTAGCGTCATTTATGAAATTTGTTAATGCACATCAAAATAAGAAAAAACATGTAGTTTTAAGGGGTTTTTTGGCAAAATTTCACATTTTTAAAGGATGACTAGTATCTTTGGAACGAATTTCTTGGAATCTTTAAGATAAATTCAATCATGACTTGAAACGAGCTTGCAGTGCTTACGAAATGTAACAGACAAAACCAACCTAGTGAAAAATATTGTTAATGAAAACAAGTGTTCTAGAATTGTTTGTGTTCGATTATGAGAAAACATGATCGTTTGCTTGGTCGTTTCGTCACCAAGACCAATCTTCGATTATTTCAATTAATCGGACCATCACTAGTGGTTAGGCTTGCTGACTTGGTTGACACGTCATCAGTTCCCAATTGTGCAGATTGATGCTCATGCTGTTGATCACTGGACTGTCTGGTCCAGACTCGATTATTTACAGACCGCCGTCATATAGCTGGAATATTGCCAGAGCTACAGATAACTTTTTGGGTCATTGAGTTATGTACTCGCTTGTGTTCATCTCAATTGGGTATACTGATTTTTCTTTAAGTAACCAAATAAATTGTACCCACCTCACTCAAACTCAGTTGGGTGTTTTGTCATTTTACATTAATCGTAAAAATATAACATAGTTTAAATGTTGGTTTAAGTTTTTGTTGTTTATATTTGATCAGTAATATAAGAAACGATAAGAAAGACTGCAAGTTGCCGAGTTCATGTGCTGAAATAGAACCTCTCAATATACCTTAACATTTTTGTGTGTACGCATGTAAGATCAAATATATTGAGTATTTACAAAAAATCAAGCGTACATGTACGCAATAGACGTAATAGGAATTGAGTTTTCACATGAATATTTGCGTAATTTACGCAGATACGCAGCTTATCTGTTCCTCTGTATTGCTGAGTGTGGCGTAAAACTAAACTCACTCACTCACTATGGAAATGACAGGCCTCAATGTTTATTTTTGACTAAGTTGTCATGTGGCTACATATATTTTTTTCCAGGCAACCACAATTATGAAGCTGGGCCAATATTTTAAAGACCTTAAAACATCTGAAGTTATTTCTTCTAAAAAAAATTCTTTTCTTCATTGCCTACACAAATGTCTCTGAAATGCATGTGCTTCACACAACAGTGTATATAGCTTGGCTTTCCTTTACGAAAATTTGGCCCACCATCTATGAAAATGGTCCTGGCACAAAATGCAGAATATGCAGTCATAGGGTAAGTCATGGAATGGTACTTTACAAATGCATACCTCCTTAATAATTCCTTTTAATATTTCATTCCAAAAAAAACCCAAATATAGATCAACATTCAAGGATTGCCGGCATAGAGAGTCTCATGTTTTCATATGTCTTATCAGCCAACAATTGAATCCACTATCACTACTCGTCATTTCAATGTTGCTGTTGTCACTGTCTTCACTTATAACACATCTTTCTATCATGCTGCGTGAAGATGGAAGTGACTTGTCGACTGAAATGTCAAGTAGCCTGAGACAGTCTACAAATATCAGAAGTTTGTACACTCTATGCCCTGCAAATAGCATAATTATTTGACAAAAGAAATCCCAGCACTCCTGCATGGAGTTGTGAATAGTTTTTGTGACACAGATGAAATGGGAAACAGGCAGTTAGAAAAAAAGATAAACCTAATGTCAACAAAATTAATTACTCGTGAAAAAAGGGGCATAAAATATGGCAGCGAAACAATTTCCCTCGTAGAGACAAATTTATCTTCCAGAGAAATCAATAAAAACTGAATTCCCCCATAGCAATATGTACATAAGACAACCGTACCATATTTGCTGTAATGTGCACTCCACCCAAATCATCCTCATTGATACTGGACAAAATAATCAATATTCAATAAATACCCTATACCAAGCCAAAAAGATTCAGAGTAGTCTTTGTATATTAAAGATTATTTCACATAAGTGTGAAGTTTGCAACATTCAAACTTCAAGGATTCTGTTCGTCGGGTTAGAATTGATCTTCAGTAACCCATGCTTGTCATAAGAGGCGATTAACGGGATTGTAAGACTCCCTGACTTGGTTGATACCAGTCATCTTATCCCAATTACGCAGATCAATGCTCATGATGTTAATCACTGGATTGTCTGGTCCAGATTCAATTATTTACAGACCGCCGTCATATAGCTGGAATGTTGCTGAGTGGGGTGTAAAACTAAACTCAATCACTATTCGTAATTTATCCAGTCTGGTCCAAACAATAACGCGATTGATATTGTGTGCAATGATCCATATAGTCAGGGTACAACAATGAACAATCAACCAAATCGGAGAGTCTGACAATCAATACATCAATACATCTGGCTGCCTCTGAGACAAGCATAGGTTGTTAGGCATCTATTCTAACCTGGAACCCCCAAAGGGAGATTCTAGTAAGGTGTAGACTAGTGGTGGTCCGATTAATTGAAATAATCGAAAATTGGTCGCAGTGCCTTAACGACCAAGAAATCGATCATGTTTTCTCATAATCGAACACAAACAATTCTAGAACACTTGTTTTCATTAACAGTATTTTTCACTAGGTTGGTTTTGTCTGTTACATTTCATAAGCACTACAAGCTCGTTCCAAGTCATGATTGAGTTTATCTTAAAGACTCTAAGAAATTTATGTTCCTCCATACTAGTCATCCTTTAAAGATGTGAAAACCCCAAAGAAATACATGTTTTTTTTCCTTATTTTTGTGTGCATTAACACAATTCATAAATGACGCCAATTATTTTCGATGATAGATCGGTTGTAATGAACCAATCATCAATTATGAGATTTTAACCAATTCCCAACACTAGTGTAGGCAGAATACCTACAACTGCTTTTTAACTATACTCAGGCTGTTTACTGTGTTGTTAAACTATGCCTTTTTGTCATACGTTGGGTATTACTTGTGTGTAAAATAAAAATGTATTTTATCTGTTTGTTTGTTGTTTATTGCCACAGTTCATAGTACTCCAGTCTGTAACACAAGTCTGGACCAAACAATCCAGTGATTGACATCACGAGATACGATGACATGCATCAACCATGTCAGCAAGTCTGACCACCCGATCCCAAGTCACCTTGTACTACAAGCATGGGTGCTGAAGGCCAATTCTAACAATGATCTTTATGGTACGTAATTCTTCACAACAGATTATGTAAGATATCATCAATGATGCAATTTTCATACCAATAATTCTTCCCATCAACAATATTTTCAATTACCCATCTTTCCAGCCAGCCCTTATTTTACCCGTCTCATGAATGAATTTTGATTAAGCTACATTCAGAGGTGAGGTGAAATGGGGTTTAACTCTTTCAGCACCAGTCAACCAGAGGCATTTACTGCCATGACACCGAGTTCCCAGAGACTCTGAGGTCATAAGTGAAGCATGTGTTTATCAAGGAAAATATCAGCTTGTAAAGCATTATTGCTACTACATATCATACACCATTTGAAAGGTCTAATCCTACGGTTTATGAATATGAAATTTATTTTTTATCTTAATATTCAAATAATACAACTACAACGTAAATAAGTTAATATTTAATCAAAATGCAAGCTTACACATTCATAATGTCCAGAAAAACCATGAAGGGAGCAAAAAATGCTGCGATTTTTTCTATTTGTAACATGTCATAATATCCCCTTACCTTTTTCTTTTGTATTTTCATTTCTACGTAATCGAATTTTTTTTATAAAATATATTTATCAAATAATATGTATGGTCGTCTATTTCCCGATATCAGTAGCTTCCCCTGGCTAACGCGATACAACAGCGGGAAATACCTCCATTTTCGAAGCTTCGTACGAATAACATGGCAATTCGAGGCAATTCGAAAATTGATGGCAGGTATCGTTCGAAAGCTCTGAACATCAACAATATCTCTGTACCCTTGCCAAGAGTATTTTCAGAGTTGTAAGAAGGGATTTTATTGGATAAAGATTGGTTTCTAATGACGCTTTTCTGCTATGAGGGTCATGATTGGTCAAAATCGTGCACGTGACCTAAGGCAGCCAATCATCTTACAGCAATGGATACCATCCTCATTAACGAAAACTTTTAATTCAGAAAAAGTTTTAGATTCAGACATTCTGAGCGTGTTACATTACCTGGAACTTAGTGAACTTAGCGGACGTGCTCGTGCTAGGTGATGACCTGTGACAAAAATGCTTCATGCATATATATTTTAGCATTAAACATCGTGTCCGAGCACGAAGTTCGAGGCGACGAAAGTCGAGATGTCACTTGAATTACATTAAATGATCGTTCCAAAAAAGATGGAAATAGTAAGTTATAATGTACGTTTGACAACTTTTATGAGTACTGTTGTTGATTTTATTCATCAGGTTATTCAATTTGTTTAATTATTATCTCGAAACATCGTTACTTGACTCTTTGACAACTTTGATGTGGACCCGTTGCCGAAGCATGTGTCCGAGAATTGGGGTATTTTCAATAACATTGCAAAAAATAGTATATAATTCTAATTCTGTCGATGATATATGATCATTTGAAATGTAATAGGTGTTTTCAGACATTGTGAAAAGTGATAGATTTAATAAATGAATCTTATGTTAGTTAGGTTCCTAAAATTATATATCATTTTGATGCGACTACTGCATGGCCGGTATACAGGCCTACGGCGTCTGGGGACTCATGACGTCTTGGCCGGTTTTCCGGCCTACGGTGTTGAATGGGTTAACATTGTACTGAAGAACATTTCGCTCATATGACGACGTGCATGCGTGTGCATGTGAGGCTGCTTGTACTAGCCCCGACTTCAGCTGTTTTTATAGTGCTAGCTCACTGAGATACCATGCCACAGTTAAGCAAGAATATCCCACTCAGACACATTATGCTGACAACGAATGAATGCCGAGGGCCAGGCAGGAACCAACAAGTACCATATTTTAATGTCTTTTGTAATAGGGCCGCCAAGGATCGAACCTGCGCCCTTCCGCTCCCTGGGTGAACGCTCTAACCATGGAGGCAGTCAGCAACATTCAGAAATATTCCAGCATTATCAAAGGGGCTGGTTAACAATGTGGTCTCACCAAGGCAAAAAGTATAAAGACCAGAAAATGTGTCATGAACATACCTCTCTGGTTCAGCCATTGTTGGTAAATTTGGAATCTGGAAAAAGAAAAGAATACAAATCATAAGTACATAAAAATACTTGACACAGTTTGTGTCTATGTTATGGAACAGTCATTCATTGACATACACATTTATACATTAAATAATACTTTCTCAAATCCATATGTTACTGAAAGCGCTAAGCAATATATGTCCCCCCTGTATGGTAGCAGTCTGTCAATAAATGAACCTGAACAAAACATCCTGAAGACTGACATTATGAAAATTCAGTTATGCAACTGGGATTCAATAACATCAGTGTTCACAAATAGCGTCTGACCCTCTGACAAATCCAGCAGATTCGCCAACGGTCCGATAGAAGTCTACAACCTGCCGGCCCCAGTGTCTGACTGTATATTTCACAATGACTTTGACTGAAGTTGTTATATGTCACATGTGACACTTGTTTGCTGTTTATAAATCTTATCTGTGCCAATAATTTCAATGCCAATTATGAGAGAAATGTTAAATCTGAAATGTGTGTCTAATTTTATTCTATGGGTCCTGTGAATTTTCAGTGGGTCAGACAGACATCTGAATCTTACAGGACCCAATGTCCTGTTACTTTGAAACACCATTCATGAACACTGTAACATGCAACAAACAAGACAGCGAGCATGAGCACCCCCGATCCAGTTCGTCACCTCTTACACAAGCAAGGGATGCTGAAGACCAATACTAACTTGGATTTTCACAGGAATTTACCCAGTGGCAATCTGTCATATAAACCAGTTGTATATGACAGAATAATTTCCTCTACTGTCAAGAATACTGAAACCTACTTATACTAGTTAAGAAATATATCGCAGGAAAAAAAGAATACAATATTCATAGCATGTTCTCCAAACCAATGATCACAACAAATGATCATACATTTGGCACCTTCACTAATTTTATATCATTTTGGACAATTTGTTATGATCTGGTTTTAAAAAGGAAATACTCCAATTTGACCATTTGAGCAAGTCTGAAAGTCATCAAATTACCACATTAATACGTTGTAAAGAAAAGGACACAACTAAAATCACACACATATGAAAAGGTTTTACAAAAACATGAAATATGCCCATATGTAATAAGATATACTCAAATCGGATTTCTATTTATAGAAACACGTGGGGCCGCTGCATCTCCCCAATATCCGCGCTGTTCGAACATAAGTGGTAACCAGACGGTCTCAGAGATTTCATCAATTCTGACAGGAAATATGGGATGATATAAGTTTTGGTTAGTAACTGAAGATGTACGCCACTCCAACATGCCTCTCGTCTGTCTCACTCACGACAACGTGCCTACAGCAGTACAGCAGCGGTATCGGTAATGGATGCTATGGACGCGAAAAGACACATGCTGACTAAGAAATCGTCGATCGTATCTACGAGAACATTACTATAATTTAATTAGAATACATGTAAACGACATTTCGAGATTGTACTATTTAGAAAACGCATTTTATTGCGACCTTCAGCGTAAGCACCGACCAAAATGGCTGCAATTGAAAGCGCACAATTTTTTACCTCGAGACAAATTTTGATCGCAGAAGAAATTACAGATCAAAACGTAACTTATTCGCACAGATGTGATGGAGCTGTTACGCCTTTGTCAATAATTTGTCATTGATCCAAATATTACACCGCATAACCGTAATATATTACAATAATGTTTACTTACACTTCTCTGTGCAGAGCACGAGGAAAATATGGTGGAAAAAGATCGACGGAGGATGAGAGAGCAAATTTCATTGGTCAGCTCTATTTGGATCTTAACAATGAACCAATCATGGATTGGTTTACTGGCGATGGAAAATGTCTTGGCGGGTAATGCTCTTACTCGCGATTGGGTCACTTCAGCACTGTAATCATTCCTAGTCACTGTGTCATCATATGAACATGTATGTAACATTATGCAATAAAGCGGTTCATCAAAGAAAATGGTATTGAAAATTAGTTTAAAAGCACAATGGCCTCGGTACCCGGACGTTCCAGATACTGCTGACAAAGGCGAGACGTAAAGTGTTCTAAAATCCCAAACCCTACTGTATATAAAACAAGAACACATTTAAAAAATTGTGAAAAACTGGTTCAGGTTAAAAGCAACAGTAAAATCGAACTATGTATTCAAACCAATTAAAATTCATTAGGGAAACAATCACCAAATACGTCCTTCTAACATTAGTTTTGTTCATATTGTTCTGATTTAATATTGATAGCATTATATAAGATTTAAAAAATTGGTAACAAATGAGCACCAACAAATTTACATACTCTTCATCAAAGAGTAGCATTGTTATATATACCTAATGCATTACATTGCTATAATATTCAGGGGAGGATACAGCTTTAAATTTTGAGAAAGGGGGGTGCACAGTTCATTTTGACCGTTTTTCACGAGAATTTGAATGGTCATTTAATAAACTTTCAGGACAAAAAGGGGGGGGGGGGCGTTCCCCTCCTCAGGATCCGCCTATGATATTATTGCTTAGTAACTATATACATTCTTTTACACCAACCACTGCTTTAAAAAATAGCGGCCCCCAGCTAGTGTGGTAATCTACCTTCAGTTATTGGCGACCAATAGCCCATTTTTACATCGTGGTAGTTTTCTACTTTAAAAATACACGCAAGCCAGTTTAACTCTTTTTGTGACACTCTAGTTATTTTACAGTCCGTTGATGACTGGTTATTTAACTACTTGTATTTATAATGTATATACAACATTTCTCGTCACTATATATGGCTGAAATATTGCCGAGGTGACGTTAAATTATCACTCACTCACTCACTTAAACAATAGCGGAATTGATACTTTGGCGGTGTCATTTTGGAACAGACCAGTCCAAGTCGTAACAGGCCAGGTTGTGAGAATAATTCATTAACAGTTATAACGGTGTAAACGCTATGCGTGTCACACAAGAGGAACACAACGTTTCGAAGTCAGTTCTGAGTAATACATTAATAACATGTTGTCTGTTGTAAATGCCATTGTTAACTAACAACTATTGTTTTTGGCACATTTTGGATTCGCAGAGGTAACGCGACGCACAAGACATTTAAGCATACACCAACACCGTTTCTGGACATGTCCGATCAAATATTAATGCGCGTGTCTTCAACTAAGGTTATACTCTGAGAGAAAATTTCATACCTCTCGCTCATCAAATGCAAATTCCGTTTATAATACCGCGGTTTATATTAAGATGCAACATAAATATTTTATACAATAGGTTCACATAAGACGTCCAAGAACAAACGTGCCAACATCACTCAACATAAGTTCAGCAAATATGTTTCATAGAGGGACAGGCGATGGTGTGTGGCAAACCGGCCTAGGAGTAAACGGCAACAAACGTTGAAGCATGACAACTGAACCATGCAATAGGAGTAACGTTCGTCTCTGTTGCAGTTAAATGTATTTCAATGAAATGAAACTAACAGTTCTGCAGGTTTCACAAACAATACAGTACGTTCATTCAGAAGTTATAATATCTACACACATCATCAGTCATTTGATCCGGGGGCTACTTTAGTTTCTATACTTTAACTGGATTTTAACACTAAACTTAAACAACTTAAGTAATCTATCCACCAAACTCAAATTATCTTCTAAAGTTCGAGTTTAATACCGATTTCAGTTCGTTCTGTGAAATGCATTTTCCTGCGTTTTTCAAATTTGAGTAAAAACTCGAACTTAAGTCAAAACTCAGACTTAAGTTTGTTTCGAGAAATCGGGGCCTGGTTTCACAAACAATACATTACGTTCATTCAGAAGTTCTACAGTGGTCACTACATGGGTAATATCTACACACATCATCAGTCATTTGATCCGGGGGCTACTTTAGTTTCTATACCCAGAACTGGATTCCAACACTAAACTTTTGTTGGTTTGTTGTTCAACAGTGCACACAGCTATAGTCCAGCTATATGGCGTCGGTCTGTAAATAATCGAGCTTGGACCAGCCAGTCCTGTCAGCAAACAGCATGAGCATCGACCAAAGTAATATGATATACGATATATGTGTCAACCAAGCCAGACCACCCGATCCCGTTAGCTCTTACGATATGCATGGGTTGCTGAAAGTCAGTTCCAACCAACTACCAAACTGACCCCTGCCTTAGCAATCTGCAGTAAACTAGTTTAATTCAAACTCTCTGTCGAAATGCATGTGGAGAAAATATTAATATTTTGGGCAAATTTCCTCCCCTGTAACAACTGTGGTGGCCAGAACTCCTGTGGACAAAGTTCGTGTGAGCAAAGTTCCATAACCGTGGAGAAACTTTATATATTCAACGGGTTCCACATGTCCAATGTGACGCACAACAGGATCTTAATTCTGTCAGTACTTAGTCTGTCTCACTGTCCCTCAGTCCAGCCCTCCCTACAATGCTAAAGCCCTAAATGAAGCAAGTCTAGATTTCCCTATATTCAGAGACTCATGAGCGTTAGTTTACGTGAGAAGTGTGCTACATACATGAATGTATTTATGTAATGATATTTCTGTAAATTACAGGGGCGGATACAACTTTTTGAGAAAGGGGGGGCACAGCTCAGGAAGGGGGTGCACATTTCATTTTCACCCGTCTTCAAGAGTTTCAGTGGTCATTATGTATATAAACCTTCAGGACAGAGAGAGAGAGAGAGAGGGGGGGGGGGAGGCACAGACACACACACACAGAGTTCCGCCTAAGAATTATATAAACACAGATCAGTGGGGCTTTGGGGCAACCAAGTTGGTAAAGTGTTCGTTGGTCACACGCTACGTGAAGGCCAGTTCTGGTGTCCCTCCACATGGTTGTGTTAGAATATTGCCCAGAGCACTCTGTTACCGCATTGTGTCCTCTATGTCACAACCTGTACAGCTAAACCAACTTTACTGAAAGACAAGCGTACTGCAATTGTATAGTAAACGTTTCCATAACCTGGGTGGACCGCTTCCATGGTCTAGTGGATACAGTGTCTACCAGGGGAGCTGAGGTCGGTGGTTCGATCCCCGGTCTATTCATACAAAATGACGTTAAAAGATGGTACAGTGCCTGGACCTTGGCACCGAGATCCTGAAACAGGGAGTGGTCAACCCGGAGTATTAATACTGGGGGTTGTCTTTTCTTTGTTTTGTTTTTTTTGTTTGGTGTGGGTTGTATTTGGGGTTGGGGTTAGGGGTGTTTGTCGTTTTACGCCACAGTCAGCAATATTCCAGCACCAGTCAAATGTCCACCAGACACTCAAGTGGTCAACATGATGAGCATTGACCTATACGCTATATGCCAACCTAGTCCTGACCACCCGATCCAGTTGGCCACCTCTTACGACAAGTATTGGTTGTTGTAGACCAATTCTAACCCGGATATTCACGGGTATTATTAATATTGTGTCAGAGTCGGTCATCCACGTTAACTGGTTTCTCAGAAGGCCAGGGTTATAAAACCAGCTGTAGTGTGTGAGTGAGTTTAGTTTTACGCCGCACTCAGCAATATTCCAGCTATATGGCGCCGGTCTGTAAATAATCGAGTCTGGACCAGACAATCCAGTGATCAACAGTATGAGCATCGATCTGCATAATTGGATACAATGACATGACTGTGTCAACCAAGTCAGCGAACCTAACCACCCGATCCCATTAGTCGCCTCTTACGACAAGCATGGGTTACACTACAAGTGGATCCTTGGATGTCTAAGGGAGGCTACTCAATATACCAAAGCGAGTTATCCATTACATCTCCTGCCAAATATGTTTCTTTACTTAAGTAAGTTCGTAGGGTTCCAATGCCGCCTACAACAGCATTCCATATGTGTCAAGGCGCGTCAGCCTACCGTAGAAGGAACAGCCCAAATGATGCAGTCTCCGACCACAGGTAAACTGTACATAGCGCAAATAGGGTTGCGCAACAGAGAGAAAAATGATCAGTCTTATTAAGTGCAAGCGAAACATGTAGGAAGACTGGTCATTTTTCTCTCTGTTGCGCAACCTTATTTGCGCTACAATTTGCCTGTACAGGTATAGAGCTGATAAAACTAAACCATAATCAGGGCGAACTGGGATTCGAACTCCCAGTCTACACCAACTCTGCGAATCACTCCGCCTTAGTTGATTGGCAAGTCAAAACATTGATTACACAACAGTCTCGTTTCCTGCTGACTGGGTTCCGTCCTAGTACGCACCGTAGTACAATAACCAGTCCAGAATTTTGAGTTCAACTGGATACATAAATACTAATCAGGATTATTTGATACATCTAACCACTTGCATATTGCAACACTACGCTCCATCTAATACTTACAAACACGTCGTGCAGCGTGCCCTGTCGTACAGTTCAAAACGAGGCTCTGCCGCTAGAAACGTTTGGCGGTCTGGTACGGACTTGATATTATATCAATCACACTGTGCGTTAAACAACTACACTAAATAAGCACAAAGAACACATAACAGGTGTAACCAGTGAGCCAGATGAATTGTGAATCATCGACTTCATCAAACAGGGGCAGTCTGTGACTGACTGACTGAGTTTGGTTTTACGCCGCTTTTAGCAATATTCCAGCAACATCACGGCGGGGGGACACCAGAAATGGGCTTCACACATTGTGCCCATGTGGGGATTCGAACCCGGGTCTTCGGTGTGACGAGCCAACGCTTTAACCATTAGGCTACCCCACCGCCCCAGTCTGTGACGACTTAGTTAACATCATGCTGCCTACACCTCACCATAAAATATAGAACTACGATGTTATTCAAGTTTAAAATTAAAATTAACTTGTAAATACCATTTCCTTATGAAACAAGGAATTGGAATTCGGTGTAACCATAGTTGCTTGTGGTGTCTGTTTTTACTTTCACACGAGAAAATTCGGATCGGCTGAAAAGTAGGTCATTAATGAGACTCATGTTTCGGTTTGTCATCTTCAAACTGATATTGCAGTATATTATTCATATGCATACTCAAGTATACCTAATAAAATATGATTGCTCATCTGCATGAGTACATCAAATGCTGTTACGATCGATATCCTAACGGTAGAACTTGTCAGTGATGTTGGTTGAACGTCGTATAGTACTATCCCTGCCTATAGTAGTTACGAAAGCAGTGTTCAGTTGTTAAGCCACCGGGAAAACGTAAAAATTCCAGGTTTCTGTTCTTTTGTCGTTGACCTTATCATTTGTAGCCACTTTGTTATCGCGGCCGACTACGTAAGTGGTGAACCTTATCGTTAAAAAAAATCCCATACAATACAAAACAATAAAATTTATAATTAACCCCTAAAAAGAAAACCAACTTAAAACGGAAAGAGAAAACCTATCTCTGTCTTTTTAGTTTGAGAAAATACACCGAAACCCTGATAATTCGGATTGAATTTCCCCCGACATTACCATATTCTGGATTGAGATTCACGGTTTTGGAGTTGATCTTGTTAATTGCATGATGTGAACATTAGTGATGAGACAACATTGATCACAGCCAAACTACAAAGGAATCAACTGCTTTTTAAAATCAAGTCTTTAACTAGTGGTTGTAGTTCATATAAATAAAGACCGCCTCCGTGGTGTAGTGGTTAGAGCGTCCGCCCGGAGAGTGGAAGGTCGCGGGTTCGACCCCCGACCGAGTCATACCAAAAGACGTTAAAATATGGTACTTGTTGGTCCCTGCCTGGCGCTCGGCATTAATGGGTACAACAAGGACTGGTTGGCTCGGAGTCAGTATAATGTGTCTGAGTGGGGTATTCGTGCTTCACTGCGGCATGGTATCTCAGTGGGCTAGCACTATAAAACCAGCTTCAGTCTGGGCTAGTACAAGCAGCCGCACATACACATACACACGCATGCACGTCCTCATATGAGCGAAATATTCTCAAGCACGACGTTAAACCCAATTCCACCACCACCGCATCATATAAATATACTCGTATTACAGCCAAGGCCTACAACTTGGTATAGTGCAAAGTCGTCTAGTTATATGCTGGACTACTCGTGGATGATGCAGTGTATTTGAAGTGACTGTCAGTATTATTGAGGAATGCGGTGTATCGCTAAGAATAACTGCTTGCTAAGTGGCTCTTTTAATGTGACGAGATGAAATATACATGTTATTTGACAACATTAACAAAATATTCTATTTATTATATTTTGATAATTGTTTATAAATGATCGAGACATCGAGTATGTCTGCATGTTATTACTCAACCCAACTACAGTCTAGCCCTTGAGCAGAAAGTAGTTCCAGGCAAAAGTGATATTCTACTCAGTGAAATAACATGTTGTTCTACTCAGTGAAAATACCATTTCTATTTTCACCAATATTTACAGAATTTCACCCTTAAGAATATAATAAAACTTATTCTTATGATTGGCTCCGTGTGTAGATACGTGATCTAATAAATCAATTATAAGATACAGAGGGCAATACTAGGAATAATACTCGGAATAAAGTATGCCTAGACGTAACGTTAGTTAGATCGTAACCGTTCTAGATCAGCTGGCAGACAGTACGTGATGCCAAGACACTGTATATATATACACCAGCTCTGAGGCAATCCTTGGGTCCGCGTAAAATGTACACTTGCAGAAAAAAGTGGGCGAAGGAGTTTAGTTTTACACCGCTTTAAATAATATTGCAGCAATATCACGGCGGGGAACACCATAAATGGGCTTCACGCATTGTACTCGTGGGGAATCGAACCCGGATCTTCGGCGTGACGAGCGAACGCTTTAACTACGAGGCTGAATAGAACAGAATACAATTTCATAAATGTTTGAATCACTGCAAAACACATTTCCCATATATATCAGAACCAACATCGTAGGATTTTGTTCATTTTACACATAGCCAAGAACTATTCAAGAACGCGAATGAGTGAGAGAGTGAAGTTTACGCCTTGGAGAGGACACCAGAGGAATGGGCTTGAGACATTATACCCAGATGAGAAGTCGACAGTTCGGTGTGCAAATCGAACGCTGTCAGGGCAAGGCTACCTCGGCCCCAGACAGAAGGTGGGACACAGAAGATCATGTCCTCTAAGGAAAAGCAATAGTCGTGTACAGATCACGGGATTCTTGCTTTTGAGTCATTATTGTTTTAATGTTACATGTCGTAATCCCACAAAAGGCGTCAGCAAGACTTTTTGCAGACATTTCAAACCACAAAAGTACAGAGAGAATGTATTGCTTGGTTGTCAGGAAACAGATTCTTTAGATAAAGCTAATATTATTAGTCTTAATTATGTCTTCACAGAGGCAAAATTTCATGTTTACAAGTGCAATGTGTCAAATACTATTCCAACACTCAAAGCTTTTAAAAGGGAATTTATCAAACAGCTAGAAGTAATAAATCGTAGTTCTTATAAATACAAAATTATAATGTTAACCACTTTTGACCTTATGTTACACTAAAAACCGATAACCTTGTATTCAATGTATGTCGAATGAAGCTATATGTCTGAAAACGACCGTGGTGCCCTGACCACGTGGCATATGTTGGTCGACATGTAACAATCGTGGTCTTATATACGTGTTAATAAAGAGTGGAGGAAAAAACGAAAACGTTTCTTGTTCTAAAATATATGGTTTCACACCAAATGAAGGAGTAAAAATATATTCCGAAACATCGCGTCCGTAAAAAATAAATAAGTTGACATCCATATATTCTCGCCTTTAGATATATATATATATATTGTGGCATTAACATTACTGGTACCTACGTTCTATGTTATTGTGAAATGGTAGCTGAAAGTTTGGAAAGGATGGATATACAAACACAATTACATAGTCGTTTTTGCCATTAATGCACAGTAAATGCTTTTGAAAAACATATATAGTGGTATGCTTAATCATTTGGGAAATAGAGTTAAGTCCCTTTGATTTCCGAGCCGTCACATGAATCCGGAAAGCGAAAACAAGATATGTAAACACGAATGTCAGGAAGAAGATGACAGTGCTTGCTATATATCGACACTTTTATCTTTTAATTGCAGTCTTTGGTTTATTCCAAGTACGAGTTGAAGGTATGACATGTTCTGGGATTCAGTTTGAAAAATGATCGTTATTAGAGTTTTCAGATTTCTCAGCAGTAGATCGTATTGATCAGTCCAGTATCAAACGACACTGCATTATCTGTAAATTATGCACTTTATTAGACGCACGGAATTATACTTTTGAAAATCCTTTCCGTAATTATCAAAGTAAACAGATTAAATATGTCCTGAAACTAAAAAATAACCGTTAATGCACAAAAAGTAATACTTAACTCATCAGCCTAATTACACAGGGACAATGTGCAAGCTAACCTCACACTGATATATCATCCATGCTCACTCCAGTTTTTAACAGTTAAGTTGCTTTTGGCTGTTACACTGATCATCATCGGTAGGTGATCTTTTTTGCAATAGAATGCTAAGCTATATACTGACTGGAAAAGTGTCCTTAATAAGAGGCGTGACTTGCACTGTCTGTTCTGTAACATTTCACTGCACTCGCAGGTCATCACCTGTTTTCGAATACCTGCATGTAGTGGTGTTCTAGGGCGGTGGGGTAGCCTAGTGGGTAAAGCGTTGTCTCGTCATGCCGAAAGCCCCGGTTCGATTCCCAACATGGGAACAATGTGTGAAGCCCATTTCTGGTGTCCCCCGCCGTGATGTTGCTGGAATATTTCTAAAAGCGGCGTAAAACCAAACTCACTCACTCACTAGTGGTGTTCTGATGATCGATTATAATCGATAATTGATTGGTTACCCTTTTCCGATGCGAAAATCGATTGCAACATTTCATAATCGATTGTCACTAATAATTCTTAGAAAAAAACAGAAATGAATACACAACTCAGACCACAAGACAAGGGTCGGTCACTGATAAGTATAACATCTATCTGCATTATTCACAGAAATCATAATCATAATAATATTGCGTTTACTCACGCGTCGAAATGAAGTGTAGTTGACAGAAATGGACATATTCTATTTTGCTAAGTGTCATATTTATTGTAGCTGGCGATCACAACAAACTGGCATGTGTATTTCACCTCCCCATTTCATGAGCTTACAACTTTCGCTTACCATGTTCGTGAGGGTAGGCTTTTTGCTTAGATATTATTTTTTATCAGTTACTGCGGCAGAATTCATCCCGTTATATTATTGGGTATGTTTTAACTAGATCACCGGGAAACGTGTGCACGGGTGATTGCTATTTCCGGCTTTACATACAAGACAAATACACGCAGTAATCTTAATCCCTGTATATAATACAATGCCTAGCAAAACAAATTAGAACTGAAAAGGTAAATAGTCTTGTCTAGTGAGGTTTAATTTGCAAATTTGACATCTTTACTGACAAGGTTGTCTTCTCCTGTCTGTCTGTTCATGTAAAGCGATACAATGTCATTTTCTTATCCCCTGAAAAAAATTGATGAAAGTGTAACCAATAGATAAGCCAACCCCCTTCTACAGACTGCTATATTTGGTCCTCAAAATTCGGCTTATCTACGGTAAAATACAGTACATTAGTGTAAAAAGTGGGTCCAAATTTTGGAAAGATTGTGAGGATTTGTTGTCATCTTTTCTATATCTTGGTAGTCTGTCAGTATTTATTTTTGTACACATTTTTTTGTTGATCAATGTAGACGTGGGTTGTTTGTAATTTTGTACAATCTTGCCTCAAATGACAATTAAAACTTATGAAAAATATTATATTAAGGAGTTTTTAAGTTTTTGTATATGCGCCCTAAAGTCATGTTTTTCACAGAAGCCAAACACAAAAGATGACATCTTTCAATTAATCCTCACTATTATCACATATGATAAAAATGACAAATATACAGTATTAAAACATAAAAACAAAAAATATTGTGAGTGCGTGTCTTGCACGCAGAGATTCTGATCTACTTAATTTTAAAAAGTACCTTTAAACAGCAATTAAAACAAATATATTAGGCTGCTCATAGATGAAAATATAAATTGAAGTTTGGAAATTCCCATTGTTAAAAACAGAACGTATCCTGCCACCAGATGGTGCTTTGAATCACGCCGCTATAACAGGGGCTATGATTGGGTAACATATTGTTTGATCTTTATCGTCTGGAATTTACAAGTGAAGTGACACCACGCAATCATCATGTCAAAACAACAGGCGTCCATGTTTGTCTCGACTAGTAGATCTGATGCTGATACATGCACTAAGAATGGTACGTCAGCTCTCAGTGCAGACAGGATAGATGATTAATTTAATGACGCACTCACCGATTCTATATTAGTGGGCTTAAATCTTCATCAAGTTGTTCAGAAATTACAAAGTGATGTTGGCACAGTCTATGGCATGGCCAAGGAGGAAATGCCGGAGAGAAAGTTTTCCTTTAATTTGAAACTACAAGAAATAACTTTTAATGGCGTTCTTGCGTTTCAGGGTGCCAATACTACACAGTTCATGGTCGCTCATTATATTCAAACACTGGAACGTATGTTAAAGTTTGTAAATATAATTACTTGTTATGATAATGATGTTATTGTAATCAAAATTTCACATGCAAAAGATTTGGACTACATGTTTCTAATCTTTTTTCTGCACGCACTAGTACAAAACCTACCACGAACACTGACTTGAATTCTATTTAAAGCAGTGTTAAAACATATAACTGAAATATATGAAACTAATGTCAGTGTATAAAAAACATAGCCCGTCCCACTGTCCTTGACGGTCTATTTTTGTGAATGACAGGGGGCAGTGGGGTAGCCTAGTGGTTAAAGCGTTGGCTCGTCACGCCGAAGACCCGGGTTCGATTCCCCACATGGGTACAATGTGTGAAGCCCATTTCTGGGTCCCCCGGCGCGATGTTGCTAGAATATTGCTAAAAGCGGTGTAAAAAACCAAACTCAGTCAGTGAATGATGGTCTATTAAATAAGTAAGGCCGTTCTTTGATCAGGGGAAATATTTGAGAAAATAAACTTAACTTGGTTTGAACTTTGTCTTATCTATTATGTTTTTCATTGTTTTAGTGTTTGGGATTGGCTGTGTTTGTTCAGGACTGGTCACTCTTTTGGACAGCCAGTCTTTGGATAGGCCATGTTTCAAAACTTATTTTATACACTTCTGATGTTCAACCGAAGCCGTTTACTCTATTGGTATATTTCACCATGTCTGTATATTAAGACACCATGGAAACACTTCCTTTTCATTTTCAGGAAAAGATGTCTTCATCGAACCATGGAACGCTACAGTTGTGTCCCTCCCAGGCCAGGGTGAGGCTGCGGTCACAGTAGAGGCCATTCCGTCAAACTACAGCTTTGTCCTCTTCCAAGCACACACTCAGTCAGAGAATGTATCAATTTCGTCAACACAAACTTTTGACGAGACTGTGACCATCACAGGCAGCCATCTTGGAATAGTGGTACTGTTGAAAGTACCTGACACCAGTGCGACAATGTACTTAAGGTCAGATGTCAACACTTCTCTCAGCGTACTGGTATCTACTGACCTTCACACTCCTTCTGGTGGGTTTCATGTGGTATAATGTTCGTAGATGACCCTCCCCAAATATATAGATTACTTTGTCTGACCATTCCCAACAGACTGTCATACTTCTTGCTCCACCTCCCATCCCCCTCCCCCAATCTCCTCAGTTCCCACCCTTCTTCCATCTGAATCTTGAAAGTAAAAGTACAAGGATATACAGTGAACTTCAGAGACGTCCAGCGTCTCTCCCCCACTCCCACACCCTCTTAATCATGAAAGTTGAAGTACAAGGATATACAGTGAACTTCAGAGACGTCCAGCGTCTGTCCCCCACTCCCACACCCTCTTAATCATGAAAGTTGAAGTACAAGGATATACAGTGAACTTCAGAGACGTCCAGCGTCTCTCCCCCACTCCCACACCCTCTTAATCATGAAAGTAAAAGTACAAGGATATACAGTGAACTTCAGAGACGTCCAGCGTCTGTCCCCCACTCCCACACCCTCTTAATCATGAAAGTTGAAGTACAAGGATATACAGTGAACTTCAGAGACGTCCAGCGTCTGTCCCCAACTCCACACCAGCGTCTCGTCCCCCCTCCCACACCCTCTTAATCATGAAAGTTGAAGTACAAGGATATACAGTGAACTTCAGAGACGTCCAGCGTCTCTCCCCCACTCCCACACCCTCTTAATCATGAAAGTTGAAGTACAAGGATATACAGTGAACTTCAGAGACGTCCAGCGTCTCCCCCACTCCCACACCCTCTTAATCATGAAAGTTGAAGTACATAGGACTTCAAAGGTCAACATAGGACATGAAACTTTTTATAGATCTTTTTCTTTGTAATATTAGGTCATTTCCTTGTTTGTTAGACCGCCTCCGTGGTGTAGTGGTTAGAGCGTCCGCCCGGAGAGTGGAAGGTCGCGGGTTCGATCCCCGACCGTGTCATACCAAAAGACGTTAAAATATGGTACTTGTTGGTCCCTGCCTGGCGCTCGGCATTAATGGGTACAACAAGGACTGGTCGGCTCAGAGTCAGTATAATGTGTCTGAGTGGGGTATTCATGCTTCACTGCGGCATGGTATCTCAGTGGGCTAGCACTATAAAACCAGCTTAAGTCTGGGCTTGTACAAGCAGCTGCACATACACATACACACGCATGCACGTCGTCATATGAGCGAAATATTCTCAAGCACGACATTTAACCCAATTTCACCTCACCTCACCTTGTTTGTTCATCAGGTAGTGGATGAGTAGCAGAGAGTGTAATGCCTTCTTTCAATCACTAAATGCATATCTGTAAGAAAAAGGGAAATGCATTTTGAACAACATACATTGGTTACTTACACAGAGTGTTGTTCTCTTGGGTTTTAAATCCCGGAAATAAATTTAAAATATTTATCGTCAAAATGAAAAATATTCAGATGGAGCCCAGAACATTCCTTAATTTCAGCCTTTCAGAGTTTGACTTAGGTCTATTATATTCTCTAGTGTCTGAGAGACAGACTTATTGTTAATGCATAGTTGTACACAAGCAGATCAAAAATTATTGGGTAATGATAACTTGTATTGTCAATTTAGGCCAGACCAATTTTATTTCTTGTTTTTCGGATCCGCCGGTCGTACTTTTTCAAGAATAAAAAAAATTAATTAATTTTCCCCGCTCAAAAAATAAAATCCCCAAGTCTTCATTGGCCAAAAATGTAAACTTACAAAAAAATAAATGTTTTGATTGTTTTTTGCCCCATATACACTTCATAAATTACCATAAATAAAGTACATGTACTTTTAGTATTTAAAAGGAATACATGTATTACTTTGACTGGTGATTTTTATTTTTTATTTTTTCCCCTCCTGCCTTAAGGTGTTCTGAGGACAAAAATCCGTAAAACAAGACATAAAATTGGTCTGGCCTTGTGCATATTTGCAATTTATCTGTTACTATGTCTTCAGATCCAGTGCCAGGGGCCTGCAATGAAGTGTTCAAGCTTGAAAATGACCCCAACATTCACTTGGAGACCTTCAAGTACTCCACAAACTTCCAGTTCCAGTGGGGCAATCTGGGCTTTACCAGGCAGGCTCCTCAAGGCGACTGTGAACTGCACCAGAAGCAGCTGTCGTATGACATTTACGTCTTCTACCTTCCTGAGATGGACCAGTCAGAAGACACGTTTCTCATCAATGTCCGCAAGATGTTAAATGTCAGTGATGTTGTGGAAAATGGGATAAAGGTGAAGGTTTTCACTTGAAACATGTTTTTGTTCTCTGCAATTGAAGGAAACAAGGTTAAACATTGTATATAACAGGGTAGAATATGGCCTGAGACTTTAATCACTACAGGGATCGAAATAGTGGAACGCCATGGAATAGTAAAAGTTTAAATGGCATTTTAGAAATATTTTCACTAATGTAAAGATTCTAGTACTTTTGGGGGTTGAGTCCAATCTTGGTTTCGGAGCCACACTCTCAAAGTCAGGCACCTAACTGCCATCTAACCCACAGAGTCACTGCAAGTTCCACAAAGATGGATGTCTGTCAAATGATACACCAGATGACATTTAGTTAAGTCCATAAGTATTATTCTCTATATAGCTACTAAAATTGTCTTCAAAAGAAGAAATGCTTGTCTGGAGTTCCAATTGTCTTCAAACGTTCTCAGTCAGCAATACTCAATAAGACTTTAAAGTTGTTTAAATATCAAGAGTCAGTATCAGTTGTATCAACCACCATCATCGTTTGGCTGAGGTTTTTTTAACCATTTTGTCAGATGCAGTAGACAAGATAAACATGTATAATCTCTAATTTGCATATTTATTCTGCTATTCAGGTGATGACTATCGCTGAATCGACCAAATCTGTAGGGTCAGTATCATCAGAGGTGGGTCAAGGTGTAGTGCTGACCGTTGTTGTCACGGATACCAAGGCTGGAACTTCAGCTGTATATGTACCTGCTCACACCTATTCCTGTCCGTTTGGAGATGGATCATGTTCCAGGAAAGGTGGGGGCTATAAATTATTTATCACCCACATTAATGGCTGTAGTGTAGATAATGGGTTTATTTCATTAGGCCTATAAAAAAATGTTGTTGTTCCGATTACCCGACCGACCCTTGAATTCTGGTGCCGACCCTATTTTTTTAAAGCGGAATGAATAAAATAAGCTTTCAGATACCATTTTTTTTGTCCTGGCACCAACAGATATCTGTCATTCTGATAGAGAAAGTCGATATGATGCCCGCAAGCTTGATTGTATAAACAATTACACATTGATAAATGTGTTATAAGTTTGTACTTTACTTCTAAAAAAAATATGTAAAAAAAAAAAATCCGACCTACCTACCCTAAATTTTAAAGAGGTGTAATCGGAACCACAACATTTTTTATTTGGCCTTAATAATGTCCCATACCACTGAGCATTTGATTGAAAACCAAATATTGTAGATGTTTGGGAGACAATGGCAGCAGAGCGTTATTTTCTTTGAATTATTTTTCATTGTAGCATTAGGCCCAACTTTATATTTACATTGCAGAAGTTTTAATAACTAAAGAGACCGTGACTTATTTGAGAAGGGAATTAGAGATTGATTGTTAATTGAACTCGCAAACATGTAGCACTTCTTTATGTGTGTTTTTGAAACATTGATGCAAGATTTCTTAAATGTGGATCCTTGTATAGAAAATGGTGCATGATGCTGTGAACTAATATACGGAGCAGAGAAGAAAAATTAGGATTTATCATTTTTTTCCTGTTTGAACAAAATTTACAATCGGTTCAGTGAAGCAACTGAAAAAAACAGTGGTTGAACAATAAGAAATAGTATGAATATATATATATATTTTCAGGTATTTGACTAGCATATGACAATGTCGTAAGTCAGTGCACCCATTCTGTTATCAGTCTGTCAGGAAGCATTTATCTGTTAATGGCACGTACGTTAATTTTTTATTGCAAAAAGAATTGCTTGGCAAATCAAATGCCAGGTTATCACTTACCAAATATTTATGACATAATACAAGCACCAGTAGTTTCAGTGATAATCAGTACATTCAGATAACTTGTACATTTCAGTTGATGCTGTTGATGGTGTAATAGCTGTCGTCAGTGCTATCTGCGGATTATTTCTCTGTTTTCTTGGGCATAGATATTTGAAAACAGGTACGTATGGTGAATTTACAAACAAACTTATATCTTCTTCTTTGAGTGGCATTTGAAACTTGATATTGATGTCTTCACATCATAACAGCATTTGTACAGAAAACATGTACCCATGAAGGTCTGGGTTAGAATATTGATCTTCAGTAACCCATGCTTGTCGTAAGAGGCGACTAATGGGATTGGGTGATCAGGCTCACTGACTTGGTTGACACAGTCATGTCATTGTATCCAATTATGCAGATCAATGCTCATGCTGTTCATCACTAGATTGACTGGTCCAGATTTCGATTATTTACAGACCGCCACCATATAGCTGGAATATTGCTGAGTGCGGTGTAAAACTAAACTCACTCACAGAAAACATGACAGACAGGAGATGTGTCTTTGTTTGTATGTTGTTAAACTCAGCACTTGGCATTATGATGACAGTATGCAGATAGTGTTGTTTGAACCCAACAATCAAGTGATCGAAGTCATGAGCATCAATCTAAGCAATTGGGATACCATGCATCAAACCAGTCAGTGAGCCTGACACCTGATTCCGTTAGTCACCTATTGAGACACTATGGGGTTATTTCAAGATCAGTTCTAACATGGCCCTTCACGAGTTGCCAGATTGATAAACATCAGCTTGTAATATTGTAATGTTTGTAACTTGTTCCTTTGCAACACCTTTCTTCAAGCCCTGGGTCAGTGGGGTAGCCTAGTGGTTAAAGCATCTGCTTGTTACACCATAGACCCAGGTTTGATTCTCCAAGATACATGGATCAATGTGTGAAGCACATTTCTGGTGTCCCTGCCTTGATATTGTTGGACTGTTGCGAAAGTGATCTAAAGGCATACTCACAGGCTCTCCATCGCTCTTTTACTGAAAGAGACAGATAAATGAGAACAAGTGGTGAGGTCTGTTTATGAGTCAGTGTACCCTGAAGGCAACATGCTGCTCATTATATCAACCTCTGGTCTGTCTGACTGTTCATGAGTCAGTATACCCTGAAGGCAACATGTTGCTCATTATATCGACCTCTGGTCTGTCTGACTGTTGTGATACAGCTGGGGTGAGGGACAGTATTCCAGTTTTATTACCCACGTGGTCAACGTATGGGTAGTTGCATATTAATCTCGTACGTCACACGAGTGTCGTATTGCGTTGACCTGTGTCGCAACGACTTGACCTGAAATTCTAACGATTTGATTGGATAACCGATGACCTCTCAATTAGGTCACATTCTGACGTAACTATTTTTTCATTCATAACAAACACGTGAATTCATTCATTCTACAACATAAATGCATTGTGGGAATGTAAACATTGCGAACGTTGCCATGTCGCTGTTTAATTGTGAGTCGAACTGAGACATTATATCTGTAGAAAAACATAAACGCAATGTTTCCACCAGTGATGTTAGCGAATGAAGCAACTGGAAACCAAAGGAGCGAGGTGCTACGGAGTAGTTTACTGTAGGAGGCTGTGCGGCGATGACAACTGACATCGTCGTGGCGTGCCGGTTACCAAGGCAGTGGCGTCATTACAGTGTGACGTCATGCAAATATTGTACTACAGTACAAAACTCTTCCGCAATCTCTTTATAAAACCGGTTTCGGTTTGAAACCAAAAACATAACAAAAATACGCTATTTTGTCAATTTAAATGCATGTAAGACGTGGGTAATAAATAAAATACCACACTCGGTCTCATTACATGCAAATTATCTGAAACTTCGCGACCTTCCTATGTTATCTGACCTGCAAACTTTCGGTCAGATACCATAAAGGACACTTCGTTCGTATAATTATTAATGTAATGAGACCAGTGTATATTCTCTATATATCACAGCATGTCATGTAATATTGGAAAAAAGCCTGAAGTGATCTCTGGCATATATCGCCGAGGGAAACAGGCACAGTCATGGTGCATACAAATCTAAGCGGGGCGTAGTGGCATAGCCTGATGGATATTTTGAATATTGCTAAAAGCATCTCTCGATCCACTCACTCACTCACTCACTCACTCCTTTGAAGCGTGTGAAGCCCCTTTCTGTTGTCCTCCGATCAGTGATATTGTTTGAATATTGCTAAAAGTGGCGGTAAAACCTGAGTCGCTCAAGCTGGTAGAGCTCACTCTCGCTCACTCACTCACTCTCACTCACTCACTCACTCACTCACTCACTCACTCACTCACTCACTCACTCACTCACTCACTCACTCACTCACTCACTCACTCACTCACTCACTCACTCACTCACTCACCCACCCACCCACTCACTCACTCACTCACTCACTCACTCAGATCATCAGAGTGAACTGGGAATTGTATTGTAACCATGATCATAGGTGTGAGGTGTGCCCAAGGGACACAACTCTGCATAGCATATTTCATGCTGGAGAGGACTGGACCGTCTGTGCCCCACATACACAAATATTTCTGATAAAACAACCAACAAACATATTTTTCTTCCTCTCCTTTTGCAGAATTTTTCATATTTGGATTCCTGGCCTTTGCATTGATGTCATACATCACGATCACAAAACTGTCAGAACTCAACTCAGATGGTATGTATGAGACCTAGGCTTCGGATAGTGTGTGACAACATGGAACAAAAAATAGTGACACTGTAGAGAATGATCATTAGTTGGTTGGTTTGTTGTTTAATGCTGCACTCAGCAATATTCCAGTCAGTCTGAAAATAATCAAGTTTGGACCAGACAATCCAGTGATCATCACAATTCTACACAATTGGGATATGATAACGGTGTCAACCAAGTCAGCGAGTCTGACCACCCGATCCTGTTAGTCGCCTCTTATGACAAGCATGGGTTGCTGAAGACCAACTCTAACCCAGATCTTCATGGGTGACTGGTCATTAAATATAGATGATACTTGGCCGGTGAAATTCAATGGTATGTGGTGAATTTTGACAAAATTATTCTGTGAATGGGGATCATCACAACTGTAGGGGTGGGGGGTATATGGTACAGATCTATCTTTTATTTCGAGCACTGATATTGATGAACTGATACGCAATGATGTTGTCAGCTTATGAATTTGCTTCTGCTGGTGGTGCTGATAGTAATGGCGATGACGACGATGATGATGATGATGATGATGATGATGATGTTGACATCAAATTCCTACTTCAGTTTAAAAGAGTTTCGAATATTGCCTCTTTGAACTTTATTTCATGGGTATTGTTGATATTTGTTAACAATTTTCATTCAAGAGGTAAATCTTTCCATTACATTTTTGGTTTTGTTTGATGTTTAACGCCACAATCAAGAATACTCAAACATGATGACAGGAGTCTATTTATAAGTAAATCTGGACCACACAATCCAATGATTGACATGAGCATCATCTACACAAGTTGGTGATGATGATGATGACAATGATAATTTGTATATGAGGATGCTAAATGATTCTGTTGTTGTTGCAGCTACTGTTGGTGTCAGTGCTGTTGTGGGTTTAGTGGGCGGGGCACTGTTCCTGATGTTCTGGTACTTCTGCGGCCTCCCTGTGGTATCTGTTCTACTAGTTGGCCTCACTTCAGGCTACCTCTTCTCCAGCCTTCTGTTCTTCACTCCATTTGGTAAGCATGCCAATAATAATAATTTATAAAATGACCTGCATGATATGAGGAATTACAGATTATCTTTCAGGAGGTAATTATTTTTATCCCCCGCCACGCGTTTAGTGTGAAGCGGGGGATATAGTATTAGGCTCCGTCTGTCCGTACGTACGAATTGGAATATGTTAAGAACCGTTCACTAGATTCTTTTCATATTTGGTAACTAGGTTCATCACATTATAAAAAAAGGTCCAAGTCAGGTTTGGTGACCTTGACCTTCATTTCAAGGTCACAAGGGGACTTTAACATTTTACCTGCATGTTAAGCTATCTCAAGAACTGTTCCCTGGATTTTCTTCATATTCAATACAAAGGGAAGGCGCAGGGCCCAGTCGATTTTTGTGACCTTCACATACTTTTCAAGGTCATGGCGACACTTTGAAGATTTCAGCATGTTAACCTGAATTGTCAGCTAGATATTTCAAGAACGGTTGACTGGATTTTCTTCAAAGACTTTCAAGACTTCCCTTAAATGTTTTTCAATAAGCAATTTCTTTAGTACTATTTTTGCATATTTCATACACTATGACATTCATGTCAAGGTCAAAGTCAGTCTTGAAAATATGTGTATGTTTGAACACCTAAAGAGCAAGATATCAAGAGAGGTTGACTGGTCATGTTTTTGTTGACATTTAACTTAAACTTTCATTACTTTATAAGTTTGATTTGATAATTTGCGGCAGGGGATTATGTCACCTTAGTGACAATGCTTGTTAAGTTTTGATTTTGTAACTTTGAATTTGCCAGGCTACAAATCATATTTTAAGGCCAGAGCAATTTCTCTCTATGTATAATGGATCTTCCAGCTAATATTTCTCTAATTCCTGTGAAAAACAAAACTCAAAATGATTTTACTTAGGTCATTTTTCATTCAACTACAGAGAGATACTGTTTGATTAATCAATGCAAGAGACATAACCCTTGAGTGCACACTTGAGTATAGTGCAACCAGTTTGGCACCAAAATCCACAACATCTAAATGGGGCGGTGGGGTAGCCTAGTGGTTAAAGCATTGGCTCGTCATGCCGAAGACCCGGGTTCGAATCCCCACATGGGTACAATGTGTGAAGCCCATTTCCAGTGTCCCCACCGTGATATTGCTGGAATATTGCTAAAAGTGGCGTAAAACCTCACTCACTCCAAAATCAATGCCAGGAGCTATCTACAATGCGACCTGAAGAATTGGTAAACCTCAGTGGCTTTGTTGCTTGCATGCCATTGCATGGATCCTTGAATAATTTAAAACTTATGCTGTCTCACATAGTGCAATTCTACAGAATTTTCTTGACTTCATTTTCTCAGCTTCGGTCATGTTAAAGTAAGTGAGTGAGTTTAGTTTTATGCACACTCAGCAATATTCCAACTACTGTAATCGTAGTTATTTTTGCGTGGGATTAATTTTTGCGCTTTTCGCGCAAAATGATTGTGCATCAATAATCATACCAAGCGAAATATTCATGGTGAAGTCATGACAAATACTCAAGTAGGAACAACTTGCAATTTGTTTATTCTCTCAGATAACAACATCAAAACTATATATAAAGGAATAGAGGCATATACTAGTATACTAGTAATAGCGATCATAATAGGCAAATGTTTGTTATCAGTTTGTCAGTTTATTGATAGCTGATTACTCGTAATCACAAAATGAACGAAGCTCACTTACGTCACTTGTTGGGACAGGTGTTGTCATGTTGACAAAAGTATAATCCCACCTCTCTCTGTGATTGTTTTAGTAAACATTATTCAATTGTGGCGGCTAGCTTTGATCATTGCATGTCTATGGGTTGTGAAAACTTTGTGATGGACACCATCACTCAGGCATTTGAAATGCACAGAAAAAACTACTGCGCTAATAGGTCTTTTGTGAACTTTCCGTGGAAATTGCACCCCGTGAAAATATATACGATTGCAGTATATGGCGGCGGTCTGTAAATATTCGAGTCTGGACCAGACAATCAAATGATCAACAGCATGAGCATCGGTCTACGCAATTGGGAGCCGATGCCATGTGTCATCCAAGTCAGCAAGCCTGACCACCCGATCCCGTTAGTTGCTTCTTACAACAAGCATGGGTTACTGAAGATCAAGTCTAACCCGGATCTTCACGGGTCCATCATGATAAAGACAGTGATGTCGTATGGTTTAAATTTCAGTACAACTTTCGATTGATTTCAGGCAATCTGTCCTACTGGCACACCACCATGACCTATGGCCTGACCTTCACCTGTGCTGTTCTCATCGGGCCTGTCTTCCTGCTGTGCTTCACTAAAACTGTATGTGTTGCTTCAGTTAGAAATTCCAGTTTTTACAGTGCCACTGGGCCTCATAAAGTCACGACTGCATGAGCACATTTAGAAACATTTAGTTTCATTGAAAATGTTTATTACCATACAGGGCTCGATTTAGTGCTTTGTAACTTGCACTGGTGCAACCCAATATAACAAAATGGAACCTAGTTATTAGTCTAACTTGCACCAGGTGCAAGTCAATTTTTGAGTGGGTAAACTTCTGAATAAAACATCTAAATAATTCAATAGCATATTTCTGATATTACATATTGCAATAAAAACAGTGCAACTGGAATTTGACTGGTGCAACTAGGTTTTTATCTTAGGTTGCACCTGGTGCAAGTAGGTTAACATCTCTTAAATTGAGCCCTGCCATATTTGACACAATGTATGTCCTTAGTGCTTAAAAAATGGACAAAATGGGTACTTATTGCAAGCAAAGAGAATTTTGAAAATTGTGATGCCAAGACGTAGTAATATTGGGAGAAATAGCACTACTGATAGACTTGAAGCTGGTGAATCACAAGCCGCAGGTACAAGGCCTTTCATTGTTATCAGAATGCCAATCTCATTTGTTTTCAAAACCAGGTTCCACAATACCTCCATTTACAAAATCCTGGATTAGCAATCCGATCCTCCTGAAAAAAAAACTGGATCCACCTCTGACATGGAAATTAGGGCAGAACATTTGGTTTGAATAGCCCACTCAGTGTGACTCTAGAATTGCATTTTTTCAATGAGACAATATTTGGAAAAATATTTTCCCAAATGGATATTTGTTAGAGGAGACCAAACTGATTGGGTTGGCGGCTTGGTTTGACAGTGTTGTAAGGAGCCAGATGGTGTTGATCGATGTTCATAATATCAATCACAGGATTAAATGTGGAAATTATTTTCAGACCCTGTCATTCAGCTGGAATTTTGTTCAGTGCAGCATTAAATAACAAACATGAACACACAGTTTCATGTTAATCCAGGGTCTCCAATGACAATATGGGTTTTAGTAATAATGTAGGTGTGTCACAATGGGGATTTCAGGAAGAAATTTCAATATTAACGCAGTATTATGAATTAAGGGGCAATAAATTTACAATAACGCTACTATTTTACAACGCTATTCTATTGTACTTCAGCTCAACATCTTGTCGTGTACATTCTGGGCTCGTACCTGTTTGTCTTGTGTGTGGATGTGTTCCTCTGGAGCAGCCTCAAGTACGTCATCCTGAACTCCGTGAACCACCAGACTCTCCCCAACTACCTCAACATCACCAACATCTTCCCCTTCAACACCAACGGTAGGTATTCAGATGTGTTTCATATTCAAGCAGGAGACATCTTGGAATTGCAATATATGGTCATATTTCTGACCTTGTTAATAGATAGTTTTCAAGAGATGAAACATATTGAAGCATTTTCTTCGCTAAGAGAACAGATTATGGTTACCTCACTTTGATTATGACTAAATTGAAAGTTTCACAATAAATTATATATTTGTAATACATATCCTATCTCTGAATCTACCTACAAAGATTGTGAGTCAGTGAGTGAGTGAGTGAGGTGAGTTTAACACCACTACCAACAGTATTCCTGTTTTATTATGGTGTGTTGGTGAAGTCAGTGAGTGAGTGAGTGAGGTGAGTTTAACACCACTACCAACAGTATTCCTGTTTTATTATGGTGTGTTGGTGAAGTCAGTGAGCAGAGATATGGTGATGGTAAAACTAGAAACATAAAATGTCTCTGAAACTGGGATTTGAACCTGGGACCATAGGTTTCTTGCATGTCACAGGTACACAACCCCACACTGTAAAAATAAAATGGACATATCTGGGCCACCCATACCCCTAATAAGATAACTTATTTTCACTGATCACAACCAGGCCTTCTTATTGGTTCATATCATTTCAAACTTTGTGATATACATTTGTGTTTGGTATTTTACAGTGAATCCTCTTTTTAGCACTATCTTATTTGAGTGATATTTCATGTTAAGGCCAGACGAATTTATTTCTTGTTTTACTTGATCCGCCTTCGTCGTATTTTTCAAGAATAAGAAAATAATACAAGTTAATTTTCCCGCTCTAAAAATAAAATCCTAATGTTTTGGGGTTTTAGAGATCTGTGTGATGTACTTTCGATACACTGACAGTGCCATAATCAGTTCCATTAGGCTACACCGCCGTTCCAAAACATGGGTATACAGAATGTCAAGTCACAAGAATAAAAATGCGAAATTTCTCAGTTCAATATCGTGTATGGCAGTAGCATCATTCACCACTGCCAAACACCGTCTCCTCATCGACTGCCTGATGCTTGTGAACACATGGTTGGGGATTCTATGCCATTGCTCTTGCAAGGCAGCCAATTTCCTGCAAATTCTGAGGTTGGTTCCTAAGACCACGAAGCCTTCTCCCAAGTGCATCCCAAACGTGCTCTATTGGATTAAGGTCAGGGGACCTCGATGGCCAGTCCATGGCGTTGATTCCAGCGTTTTGAAGGAAATTTCGTGTCAACATCGCGGTATCGCGGTCGAGCATTATCATGCTGGAACTGTAGACCTGGGCCATGAGCCGCCATGAAAGGATTGAGTTCAGGGGTGAGCACCTAGTTGCGGTAAGCAGCAGCTGTGAGGTTTCCACGGATGACCGGGAGTCGGGAACGGTTGTTCCCACAGAAAGCACCCTACACCATGCCACTTCCGCCCCCGAATCTGTCGACTTCCTGTACACAACATTGGGCATACCGTTCACAACGTCGTCTCCACCGACGTCGTCTCTATGCCTGCCGTCCGCGAATCTGAGGGTAAACCTGGATTCATTGCTAAAGACGACTCGATTCCAGTCTCTCTGGGTCCATCGGAGGTGACGTTGGGCCCACAGCAGACGTTGACGTTGATGAAACGGCGTCAATATTGGCCCGATATGGACATCGAGAATAGAGATTGGCAGCCCGCGAACCGATTTCGAATGGTCTGTGAGGACAGTCGACCTCTAAACATCTCAGCCCTGGTTCGTGTAGCCGGCAGAAATCTGTCACGTAGGTGGCGTAGAGACGGTTTGATCGGTCTTCTGCTCGCGGATGGCGTCACGCGTGGATCTAATTCGACCTTGGGCGATCAGAAGTGGTGCCAGTTTGTTGAAGCGACCTGCGCAAGTCATACACAGCAATGCACGACGGCTGCATCCCATTGCTCTTGCGACGTCTTCCCACTTGCAACATGCCAACAGCACGTTCACGTTGCACATTTGACAATCCTGGCATTTCAAGTACCGTTAGAACTGTGGGTTAAAAGTGTTTTTTCAATTCTTGAAGCCAATGCAAACACGTGCATATGAAGAAAACTTCGATGCGAAGATAACGTGATCGACTGCACATGCAAAACCTGATTTTGCACTAACGTCATTTGCACGACGAATGGATGGGTTTGAGTGGGTTTTGCTAACGTTTCTCTAGAGTCGAAAGATAGGGATCCCATTTCAGATATATAGATGTATCATCAGAGAAAAATTATTCATTATTTTTTTTATAAATTACATTTTGTGAAGTTTCTTTTTTGACTCAGTATAGATAGTTTTCAAAAGATGACATGCATTGAAGCATTTTCTTCGCTAAGAGAACAGATTATGGTTACCTCACTTTGATTATGACCAAATTGAAAATTTTCACAATAAATTGTATATTTGTAATACATATCCTATCTCTGAATCTACGTACAAAGATTGTGAGTGAGTGAGTGAGAGTGAGGTGAGTTTAACACCACTACCAACAGTATTCCTGTTTTATTATGGTGTGTTGGTGAAGTTAGTGAGTGAGTGAGTTTGGTGAGTTTAACACCACTACCAACAGTATTCCTGTTTATTATGGTGTGTTGGTGAAGTCAGTGAGTGAGTGAGTGAGGTGAGTTTAGAGCATTCCTGATTATGGTGTGTTGGTGAAGTCGGTGAGTGAGTGAGGTGAGAATTGAGTTTAACACCACTACCAACATTCCTCTTTATTATGGTGTGTTGGTGAAGTCATGGTGTGTGAGTGAGTGAGTGAGGTGAGTTTAACACCACTACCAACAGTTCCTGATTATGGTGTGTTGGTGAAGTCAGTGAGTGAGTGAGTGAGGTGAGTTTAACACCACTACCAACAGTATTCCTGTTTATTATGGTGTGTTGGTGAAGTCAGTGAGTGAGTGAGTGAGTGAGGTGAGTTTAACACCACTACCAACAGTATTCCTGTTTATTATGGTGTGTTGGTGAAGTCAGTGAGTGAGTGAGGTGAGGTGAGTTTAACACCACTACCAACAGTATTCCTGTTTATTATGGTGTGTTGGTGAAGTCAGTGAGTGAGTGAGTGAGGTGAGTTTAACACCACTACCAACAGTATTCCTGTTTATTATGGTGTGTGGTGTTGGTGAAGTCAGTGAGTGAGTGAGGTGAGGTGAGTTAGTCAGTGAGTGAGTGAGGTGAGTTTAACACCACTACCAACAGTATTCCTGTTTATTATGGTGTGTTGGTGAAGTCAGTGAGTGAGTGAGTGAGGTGAGTTTGACACCACTACCAACAGTATTCCTGTTTATTATGGTGTGTTGGTGAAGTCAGTGAGCAGGGATATGGTGATGGTAAACCTAGAAACATGAAATGCCACTGAAACTGGGATTCGAACCTGTGATCATAGGTTTCTTGCATGTCCAAGGTACACAACACTGTAAAATGGACATATCTGGGCCACCCATACCCCTAATAAGATAACTTATTTTCACTGATCACAACCAGGCCTTCTTATTGGTTCATATCATTTCAAACTTTGGGATATACATTTGTGTTTGGTATTTTACAGTGAATCCTCTTTTTAGCACTATCTTATTTGAGTGATATTTCATGTCAGACCAATTTATTTCTTGTTTTATGGATCTGCCTGTCGTATTTTTTCAAGAATAAGAAAATAATACAAGTTAATTTTCCCGCTCTAAAAATAAAATCCTAATGTTTTGGGGGTTTTATTGGTCAAAAATGTAAATTTACAAGAAAGGCTTTTTTTTAGATTGTGTTTTGCCCCATATACATTTTATAAATTGCCAAAAGTAAAATACTTTTAGCATTTATTTTTATTTATTTTTTTTTTTTCCTCCTGCCTTTAGGGTTTTTGAGTACAAAAATCCGTAAAACAAGAAATAAAATTGGTCTGGCCTAACCTTCATTTGATTGATATGTTTTTATTTCATTTTTTGTGTGTAATGTTGTGGGGTTTAAGTTTGAGAAAAGCCTTTGTTGATGTGTGCAACATTTGTGACAGAATGTGTAGTTGTTTTACCTTCAACTAAAAGCAAAACTGTTTTATTCTGTGTTTGATCTGCATTTTATTGAGCAAAATTTATCTCAGGCATCTGAATGAAAGGATTATTCAAAAGATCCACTCATTGGTAACAGTACTGTTGACATCTTGAAATAACCCTCCATGTCTTCATCAGATGTCATCTGTATTTCCAGAGGTGATCCTGTCGGTGGTGTGGGCGGGGCTTTGTATCGTGGGAACGGTCTTCCAGTTTTATCGAGAAAGGAAAAAACCTCCTTTCCCGCCTTGCCCAGCTCATGTGAAAAAAGCAAAACGACTAGAAAGACCTCTGTCACATCCACATGAGGAAGAGCGACGACCTCTCTTGAGTGAAAGGTCAAGGCCAGATTACACACAAGATCAAGGTCGGACCATTGGCAATCGTCAGCAAACTGTCCCAACAGCTCAAGTCAATCAGCCAACTTGAGAATATTTATGTTTCCTGTTTGATTTGATGCTTTGGTTTTGTTGTCTTGTGGAAAGAAACACTGGATATCCAGCTGCCTGTGTAATGTGCTGGGCATTGATAAAAAAATCAATGTTACACTGTCACACTTATTGTACTTAGGATCATTATCGAAGGGTCAAATCAATAAAATGAGATTAGCATGTTTAAAAATACATCAAATTTAACTACCCAAAAATTGCAGTTTGGTTGCATCTGGAATTAACCATTTTATTCCCACACTGACTGTTACTTGTCATCCATTGCACATACGTGAATGAAACCACTGGTTGCATCGACACATGTCTTGTGGATGTTTCTTTAACCTTAATTCTTGCAATTTTTTTTATTCTTTTTGATAGTCATCCATTTTCAAATTTCATTGACACATCCTGTCAGTATAACACAGGCATAAACAAGGTGTACTTTGACTGTGAATCACATTGGACCTATTGACGCTTTGTGGCACATGTTTGACATTCAGCATACATAGGTGACCCTTTATTAATAAGAATCGGTATTTAACTGCTTTAAAAGGTGATGGTAATGGTGTCAGTAAACATCATTCAGATACAAGTGGAGACATTCCTTGCTAGCTTGGTGAAAATGTGATATATTGCTTACAATGAAAGTATTCTTGGAAGCCAGCTGAATTATGAATTTTCACATTTTTGTGATGAAAAAAAATATTTCACAATAAAAATAGTGTTTATATGAAGTGCAGATATTTCTGGGCTTCAATCCTGTTTTTGTGTATGTATTTCAACCAGAACGATTAAAAGATGATTTTAACAGTACTTAAAGTATATTTGCAGGAATGCTTTGTTTATAGAAGTATTTCTGAATGTCATGGGCCTGTGCTTTTCAAAGCTGATTTGTGCGCTTCCTTTTGTTAAAGCTGTCTAGAGTTATCTCCCTTCAAGTGTAAATATTTTTTCCTTAGAAGGTGGTTTATTTGATAAAATAATGCTCTTGTTTATCTACGTGATTGATCATTGTCTTGATCAAGTACCAGCAGTATTTCTGTTTATTGTGTTAATGCTGCATCCCATTATAATTATATACTTACAATACAAATATGTGATATGTTTGATGAATGAATGCGACCCATGAAGATCCAGGTTAGAACTGGTCTTCAGCAACTAGTGCTTGTCTTCTTCCAGTGAAGATCTAGATCAGAATTGGTCTTCAGCAATCTGCGCTTGTATTACCTCAGTGAAGATCCAGGTTAGAATTGGTCTTCAGCAACATGTGCTAGTCTTCTTCCTGTGGAGATCCAGGTTAGAATTGTTTTTCAGCAATCTGTGCTTGTATTACCTCAGTGAAGATCCAGGTTAGAATTGGTCTTCAGCAATCTGTGCTAGTCTTACCCCAGTGAAGATCCAGGTTAGAATTGGTCTTCAGCAACCTGTGCTAGTCTTACCCCAGTGAAGATCCAGGTTAGAATTGGTCTTCAGCAATCTGCTCTTGTATTACCCCAGTGAAGATCCAGGTTAGAATTGGTCTTCAGCAATCTGTGCTTGTATTACCTCAGTGAAGATCCAGGTTAGAATTGGTCTTCAGCAATCTGCGCTTGTATTACCCCAGTGAAGATCCAGGTTAGAATTGGTCTTCAGCAATCTGTGCTTGTATTACCTCAGTGAAGATCCAGGTTAGAATTGGTCGTCAGCAATCTGTGCTTGTATTACGTCAGTGAAGATCCAGGTTAGAATTGGTCTTCAGCAACATGTGCTAGTCTTACCCCAGTAAAGATCCAGGTTACAATAAATCCATGTCAACCTTATATATTGTAAGAGTCGACTTGCAAGATTGGCTGGCCAGACCCACTGACTTCATCGTCAGTACCCCTTTATGTACACTTAAGTGACATTCCTGAAATACATGTAAAGGTAAAAAAATGCAAAGCTATCTGAGAATAGTAATTTTATTAGTATACTGTTCCAAACAAGTTAAAATCCTTCCACAACATATTGACTATAGTTAGGCCAGACCAATTTCATTTCTTGTTTTATGGATTTTTGTCATCAGAAAACCTAAAGGAAGGAGGGGAAAAAAACAAAAAAAACATAAAATCACCAAAGTACCATTCCTTTTAAATACTCAAGTTATTTTACTTTTGGCAATTTATAAAGTATATATGGGGCAAAAAACAATCTAAAAACATTTTCTTGCACATTTACATTTTCGGCCAATAAATATATTAAAATTTTATTTTTTGAGCGGGGAAAATTAATTTATGTCTTTTTATTTTTCTTGAAAAAATCCGACCGGAGAATCTGTAAAACAAGAAATAAAATTGGTATGGCCTTATATGAAGACTTAATCTTAACTTCCTTGGAGCAGTATACTTTCAATTAACATGACCTATTTGGTTTTGTTTTCTGTACATAGATAATATATTTTATGAATGTATGACTGTATATAAATCAGAAAAAAATCACTGACATGTGCAATTATACTCTCTTTTCATACTCATTACATGCTTTAGTTTTACAAATGAATGCATGGCTTTACAAAAGAAATGTAAATAAAAGATAATTTTTTATGTGATCAATGTCATGTTTTTTAATGACCTCAGTATTTCACCTTATGTCTGGACTATACATTCCGGTGATTGATATGAGCAAGGATCCATGCAATGACATGCAAGCAACAAAGCCACTGAGGTTTACCAATTCTTCAGGTCGCATTGTAGATAGCTCCCGGCATTGATTTTGAGTGAGTGAGGTTTTACGCTGCTTTTAGCAATATTCCACCAACATCATGATAGGGGACAACAGAAATAGGCTTCACTCATTGTAACCATGTGGGGAATTGAACCCAGGTCTTCAGCGTGATGAGCAAACACTTAACCACTAGGCTACCCCACCATCCCCAATGTTTTTGGAAGGATGTGTTAGTGTTTGAGTAGTATAGTGAATGGTGGCACGGTGACAGGTACCTATAACCGTCACCGTACCACCATTCACTATACTACTGTTTGTAACTTGAGTATTATTATACTCACAAAGTGCACTGGCAGGGGATGTAGTGAGTGAGTGAGTTTAATTTTACGGCGCACTCAGCAATAGTCCAGCTATATGGCGGCGGTCTGTAAATAATCGAGTCTGGACCAGACAATCCAGTGTTCAACAGCATGAGCATCGATCTGTGCAATTGGGAACCGATGACATGTGTCAACCAAGTCAGCGAGCCTGACCACCCAATCCCGTTAGTCGCCTCTTAGAACAAACATGCGTTACTGAAGAACAATAGTCTAACCCGGACCTTCACGGGTGGCAGGGGATGTAACAATGTAAAGATGTGGCCATAGAAAAAGAGGTGGGTTTGCACCATTGAGGCCCTCTCTGGCTCCCTCCCACTACCCCAAGGAATACTGGATAAAGTCTGTGTGGATTCAGACATTCAGACATTTCACCCATAGAAAGGTATCCGGTTTAAAAAACCCCATCTATTTACATATCTACAAAGTGAAAATGAAATTCAAATTCAGCCCAGTACAATGCCTAATTTCAGGCCTGGAGCTGAAGCACTTGCCAAATCATTCTCATATTTTAATATCTCTATAAGATTTGGCAAACAGACAAATGAGCTATGACACATTGTCAGTCCTGTTTCCAACATGATTCATCCCTATGAAATTGGTAACATTTAGAAGAAATAAACAACCAAACACGCAATGTTTGTTAGTTTATTTGATTTGACACTGAAGCATACACTTGTTATTTACATGTTAAACGACACTAATAGTAAGCAACCAATGCTGAGATTCATGTAGATACAGAGTAAATACATGTATATACAAGTCAAAACAAGACAGCAAAACATGGCCTCCATTCAACACATTCAGACCTCGATACAGACCTGTTTATAAACTGAATAGGGAAATATTAAGTCCTGTCTGTTGACAGCATTCAACAATGAAACTACTGGAAGACAACCCATTGAAGGGGATCTAGTTATAACATGTCTCTGTCCTTTTGCGAACAATGGCATCGAATATCGACATGGCTATGATATAAGTGACAAATGTTTATCCTTACATTGTTTTACAAGTCTATACTATATCTCTGCACTTCCCACCTTCTCCATTTGAGATAAGTTGAAAAATCTTGAGTGAGTGAGTTTGGTTTTATGCCGCTTTTAGCAATATTCCAGCAACATCACGGCGGGGGACACCAGAAATGGGCTTCACACAATGTACCCATGTGGGGATTCGAACCCGGGTCCTCGGCTTGACGAGCCAACACTTTAACCACTAGGCTACCCCACCGCCCCTGAAAAATCTTGAACGTGTGAGCCTAACAAGTTGTATAATATAGTTGATTATTGTGTCCTCCACCCAAAATGTATTGCCACACAATTTACATTCTGTAATACTCTGAATCTGGTAACCTACAATTGTACATAAAAATATTAGCCGCTTTTACTAGTTTTAGCAATATTCCAGCAATATCACGGCGGGGACATCAGAAATGGGCTTCACATATTGTACCTATGTAGGGAATCGAACCCGTGTCTTCAGTGTGAGGAGTGGACGCTTTAACCATTAGGCTACCCCACCGCCATCATAAAAATATTAAAATGGAACAGCAGAAACGTCTTTCCAGGAAATATTATCTTCCACAATGATGCAGATGTCTGTTATTAAAATTTTTGAGTTTATTGTTATTTGATGCTATTGTTGGACCAATGAGGATCAAGTAATGTCCACCTTCATAGTAGAATTAGAGATCTTATTTATGGAGAATTTGGAGTTCAAACCAGACATCAGTTGATCCTGGTACATAAAGGGAGATAAATATGTTCACTTCACAGTGTGATAATAAGGTGCATGTAACACTTAACCATCAGAAGTAAAATCATGAAGTTCCATTTTAGTTTTCTTCTTTTTGTCATCACAAAAAAAGAAAAGAGTCTTTAAACATTTCAAAACAAGCTTTCAAGACAAATTTCAAGCAAAAAGCTCCAACATAAAACATCATTATTCCGTTCATGATTATCACAGAAAACCCCTCTGATACACTATCATCTAACAACATCTAAGTGTGTCTTGCAGTCATTCTTGAAAATATATCATGCAAACATCAACTCCTCAGCCTTACATAATGCTTACCAACAGGCCATTCAAATGCAACACAACATAGACACACTCATGAGAGAGTGAGTGATTATTGACTGACATGTTTAATGCTGAATCAGCAATCTTGTTTGTTCATGTTCAGACAATGGCTGATTCAATTTCAGTTATCATAAATTGGTTCCATTGTTGGTGCACAAAAGCAAGCGTCATGCTGGAAGCCCAAAAGTGGTGACCAAAATATGTTGTACAAATCTGTAGCTTATCCAGTCATAGGTGCACAGGTGTAACATGCAGTGGCTTATAGAATAAAAATGAAAAACAACACCCCACCCAACTCATAGGAACATGCTTTCACTTTAAGAGAGAAACAAGCACAATAAACTTCTTTGATAAAGAAACTGCAAACTTCCTTTAATAGTTTTGTGCATTCCATGTAAGTTTTGAAAATACAGAATTTACATTCAGTGTCACTTTCTGACAGTAATTTGGAAAAAAAGGCGTGAGATAAAGTGTTGTAACTTCACAGCGACTATATGGAAATATGAATGGAAACAAAGAACCACTTTGTCGACACATTGAATGAATGTGATTAACACACAATTCCTGGTTTAAAAGACACAATGCTGGAATGATCAAAGTAACCATGGAAACTGAAAAATTACTGGATGATATTCTTTAAAATTATTGAAATGAAATTTCATCATAATTGTGGTTGTGTACAGATTAGAAATACCAATATGCATGTATGTTTGACATTAGTGAGTGAGTGAGTTTAGGTTTACACCGCACTCAGCAATATTCCAGCTATATGGTGGCGGTGTTTGACATTAAAGAAAATTCACAACATCGAAGTGGGCGGTTTGAAACATCAGTGGTTAGTGATACGTGTAATGTGAACAAACATTTGCATGATGAATTCACTCAAGTGCATTATTTTTATTATTTTCATAAGATTTAAAAAGACATTCATACTTTTCAGGTTTATATTTCAATACAGTCAAATTCAGTCTGAGGTGGACAAAAACATGGACAAATATTTCAAAAATGATCAGCTTTTTTCTTAACTTGTATTTTCATTGAGAAGCAAATTAACAGTGACAAGCTGTAATTACTGATTCCTTAGAACGCAGGTAATGATGACTTCATCAGGATGACAATTCAAACATAATTGCAACATGACTGATAAATTCTTTTACCCATCCACTGCCTGCTATTTGCAAATGTTCAAATCCCACCATAACACAGTAATACCTGGGTTACTCTATCCCTCGGGTAAATGACCTGTTTAATCCAACCCTTCCCCCATCCCAGCCCTGGTTAAACCAACTCTTTCAACCAGATATATCATGGTCAACCCATCCCGTCATGTAAACAGACATATGTATAATTATTGTGTTGCACTAGCCCTCGGTTGACCAGCTCTGTAGCAAACACAGCTCCCACAGGTAACTAGTTCTGTTGTCAGCTGTATCATGATCAACCTCACCCCTCAGGCAACTGAATCTTCATTCCCCCTACCCTGGCCCTCATGGAAATATCTCTATAGTCGTAACCATCCCATGCAACCCCACTTGTCACGGAAATCAGCTCCATAGTCACCTCACCTCCCCATCAAATATACACACACACACACACACCCACAAATAAACCCTCACCACCTCTACCCCATTGCCTTCTCCAGGAATCTCAGTTCCATAGTCATCCCCTCTCCTAAATCACCCTATCACTACCCCACCCCACCTTCTCAGCACCCCCATCCAATAATCCCCTTCTCACTAGGGACCCCACCTCCATGTTCTGCTAACCCAACCCCAGGCAGCCTAATTGTCACCCCACAAAGGGATTCAGGACTTCCACAAAGTGAGAAAACGCATTCACTGTATTCAGCAGTGACGGAGGGGTTCTACTAATTTTGACAGCTAAGTTTTTGATGCTGAAGAAATTGCAGCTTTATATCTGAACATTGATACTGAACACAAGCAAACATGCTGTGATCAGCAGATCCTGTACCGTCACAACTTCAGCAGGCACTATCTCTCACTGATCACAGGGATATACTTGCATCACTATCGATCCCACCCTTCTCGACTGGCTGCCATAGCAACAGATACACACCTATCCCATCCCACACATTATTTCCAATCTTGCAATTGTTGGCATGGTGATACATATTGATCGCATAAATAGCAGACTTTGCATGCAATGTTAGGAAATAAATACACTTTCTCAGACTCAGTTTGGTTTGGCACAATTATTCTATCACCTATTATGCCATATTTGTCTGTAGAATATTCAAGGGGAGACAACTGATCAGGATTCAGTTGCAGTCTGACAAGCTGAATCTTCAGTTACCCTTTCTTTAAGAATACGATCTCCCGAAGTTGTGCAGACCTCAAGGATCTCACGGAGGGCTTTGTTCTCTGTCTGTAGTTGTTTCACCTGCTCTTGTTCTTTGCTCACAGAATCATCATCGATCTTTACAGCCTTGTGCATCACAGCAGCCATTTCATCAATTTTGTCCAGCAGCTGCACAACTTCCTCCTGGCCGAAGAAAAACATGCATCCATGTTAAACGTATCTAACACAACATTTGCATAGAATTATAAACATTATGGCAGACCTCACAGCGTGCAGGGCAATGAAAGCCTGAAATATTTCTTTAATATTTACGGGGCGGTGGGGTAGCCTAGTGGTTAAAGCGTTGGCTCATCACGCCGAAGACCCGGGTTCGAGTCCCCACATGCGTACAATGTGTGAAGCCCATTTCTGGTGTCCCCACCGTGATATTGCTGGAATATTGCTAAAACTAGTAAAAGTGGCGTTAAGCCATACTCACTCATTCACTCACTTTAATATTTACACTTTGGGTCATCACTATGTACAACCAATCAGGTTCACAGGTCAGGAGGAGCAAAAATTGGCTTGGAATTCATTGCATACCACCCTCACTTATCAACTGAATGATATCTGTCTCAATTCTCATATCACAAATCCAAGATCCATTTGCTCCCAGAGCTTCATATTAGGTCTCATTTGAAAGACATGATGTTGAAAACGGCAGTTCAATCAGAGCATACTTGTGTGTTTGAAGTTTCTGATAAGCCAACAAGATTACATTCAAGGTAATGATTTGGTCCAGGGCATTTATAACAGCATGGAAATATATCACCTTGGATATTGCAGGGTGGTGGCAGACATGAAATTCATTGTCTTACAGTAGTCAGACTGACTGACTGAGTTTGGTTTTACGCGCCGCTTTTAGCAATATTCCAGCAACCTCATGGCGGGGACACCAGAAATGGGCTTCACTCATTGTACCCATGTGGGGATTTGAACCCAGGTCTTCAGCGTGACGAGCCAACGCTTTAACCTTTAGGCTACCCCACCGCCCCTACAGTAGTCAGAGCATGCATGCTAATTGTCTACCCATTTTTTCCACTATCTCAAAGTATTTCATGAAATTGTTCAGAAAACAAGGGAAATATCTGGAGAATGGAATCTTACATAATTTATTTAAGATACAATATTTTGCTGGTATGTTGTAATCCAATGAGAACAGTTCATCAATTTGAGAGGGAATCAATTGAAATGTACCTTAAAACCATATTGAACATAACAGAAAAGGTCTCTGCCAATCAGAATCTGACATTCACATGTAAGGTTAGATAACGAGAGTATGAACACATTTCTTACTTTTGAGTTGTCTCCTTTCTGCGAAATGAGCTTCTCGACCCTGTTGCTCTGGATGAGCTGCATGATCTGCTCCCTGTATTTCTGCATGATCAGCTCAAGAGCTGACTGGTGCTCCTCCAGGGACATCTGCAGCTCCCTGTTCTCCTGCTGCAGCTCCCGAATCTGCCGGTTCTCCTGTGCAATGCCCAGCACCAAGGCTGAGCGAGGCCGGTGTTTGGCGATCTCATTCAGCTCTGTTATGTCATCTTGGTACTGGAGAATGTTGAGAAGAGATATGAATTGCTACATCAGCATGATCAAAGACATGTAGTAAAGGGAAGGAAAGATCCCTAAAAAAAAGACGGTTGTTAAATTTCCAAATCATCATCATCATCGATCCTTCAATTAACATTCTGGAGTTATCTTCAGCAGTTCATAATACAGTTTGGGGAACATAACACATATTTTCCATAACAAATGAATTTAGTTTTGCACTGTTCTCAAACCACCAATAATAAAGTTTAGCCCAACTAGCTGCAGTAAATTAACGAGTTAATCCCTCCTAGGACTACACCCTGAAATTGTTAATCAGTGTCGCTTCAAACTCATTAGGCAAAGGAAGTTCCAACATACTTCAAATTTCTGTTTTTTCATCTGCTTGTATCAGTCAGTTTTGTAAGCAAATGAACATCCTAGATGGAATATTCAACCATTTCAGAGCTAACCTGTTTCATGGCATCTACTCGTTTATTCAATGCCTGGGCATTGGCAATGAGGAGATCAGCTGATGAGTCGTGTTCCTTGAGGCGACTGATGAGGTAACTGGCATCACTCAAGAGTTTCTCTACTGTCAAGGCCATCCTGAAATGATAACACATAATCCAGAAATTCAGAGTCAAAGGATAACACTTCTGTACATCAATGGAATGATCGACTGCCTCCGTGGTGTAGTGGTTAGAGCGTCCGCCCGGAGAGCGGAAGGTCGCGGGTTTGAGTCTTGCGTCATACCAAAAGACATTACAATATGGTACTTGTTGGTCCCTGCCTGGCGCTCGGCATTAATGGGTACAACAAGGACTGGCCGGCTCGGAGTCAGCATAATGTGTCTGAGTGGGGTATTCATGCTTCAATGCGGCATGGTATCTCAGTGGGCTAGCACTATAAAACCAGCTTCAGTCTGGGCTAGTACAAGCAGCTGCACATACACATACACACGCAAGCACGTCGTCATATGAGCGAAATATTCTCAAGCACGACGTTAAACCCAATTTCACCTCACCTCAAAGGAGTGATCCTTCAGAATAGACTAAGAGCATGGCCATACACCCAAGAGACGTTATACTTGGTTGTTGTTTTTAAAGAACTGCATGACATGTTCAAGAATCAAGACACATGTGTTCATTAACTGTCAACAGGAGTGATTCACTTGAAGCATTGTGTTTTGGTCGGACTCTATATATAATTTAATCACATACAATGAGATGAGAACACACTTAGCCAGTTTTCTTAGCTCTGACTCTGTAGTTACTTGGGGACAACAATTGAAATGGCATGTGTGGTACTGAGTCAGACTCAGATGAAAATCTAAAACAGGTTATTTTTTGTGGCCAAACATTCCTTAAAAACACTTTCAACATCCTATGATGTCTGTAGTGCAATAATAGCACTCCTGTCATGTAACCACATATTTGTCAGAAAGGCAGTTGTCCACTAGTAGTACTACCTATGACCTATGAATTGGTGATGTTAATATTGTTATACTTGAATCGGTTAAAAAATGTTAGTGTCTCTCTTCTGGTATTGAAATTGTTAACACATCACTCTCTATTACAGTTCTGTCATGGATGCCTGTAATAATCCACTGATCAAAATGAAACCTGTTAAAATATATTTGATATCTTGAACTGTCATTGCATGAAGATATTCACTTTAGTCACTAATTTATTCAACAAACCAATCCATATTATTCTATTCTAACAACACCATTTAGGTATGAAAGGTTACTAGGGGCTAATTATGTCCTGAATTCTAATGAGTTCATTGAAACATCTTAATTAGTTCACAGAATAAACACAGCATTTGCATCTTTATGAGCCTCTCTCTATTAATACTAGAGGTAATTTTACAAATGGCAAATTAAATCCAGAATTGTTATTAATTTAACTTGTAAATTCCGATCCTATTGTTAACTTCATTGGCGTGACTTTAACCAAATGACATCATAATGAACAGAAAAGTTTGACTGTAATATACTGAAAGCACAATGTAAATTGTAATCATGGTCATGTTGACACAGTAACATCGCTAAATCAAAGGCATTTTCAGAAGATATTGCGCAATCATACACTCTTGAAAGTTAATAGACTTGGCCCAAATACTATTGTCGCTATTTCTTGTGAAACTAAGCAACCTAATTATTATCGCGACTATGTAAAGCCCGTGCAACACCTGACAAACAACAAACCTGTTGAAAAATTTGACAGTCTCGATATAGTCGGAAGTTAATGAAAACTACTTTCCATCGCAAAGAGTTCCACAAGGGAAGTAACTCTTTGTCGCCGCGAATGTCAGCGAACGAGTTACAGGTTCCTGAGATGCCGAAAGCATAATTTAATCCAGTTCTCATAACATAATAATACAGACACCTAATATTGTGCGATCAATTTGCGACTTAAATTGAAAGAAGAAAAACATTAGACCTTTCACACAATATGTAAACTAGCATGCATATTAATACCTTTTATTTATGACAATTTCTAAGCAGCCATTAATCATTTCACAGACATATCTTCACGGCAGACACTTTTACACATGCATTCAAACATTCTGAGCACTAAAATAATTAAACCCATTACAATCATTCATTCGTTTTAGATTTAAAAAAAGTCAGACCTCAAGAACATTCAATAAAACTTCAAGAGCACTAGCCTATCATGATTCGGATAATAGGCGATTATCCCTGAGAGAAAGCATCAGTTAACACATTCAGCGTCTCACACAAAAGATTATGCTTTTGAGAAAGCAATACTTTCAAATATTCCGGAATTTTAGGATTGTTTCATCATAACATCTCAATCCACAAGAGCGCCGCATCTACAAATTTCAGTGTCATTACTTACACAGCAATAGAAGCGAGTAATGTTATCAGTATATATAAATTGTCATTGTGTAAGAATACGAATTTTGTGTAAACAAGCAATACATGTGATTAGGTTTTGCTTGATACAGGTTATCCAACATTCGTGTACGAGTTTCTCAAGGCACTGGTCCTGTTATCATCAAGTACATGTACAACAAATGGCTAAATGTCAGCATGGAGAATTAAAAGCAAGACATTATTTTGTGTCCATTAGTTAAAAATTCACCTACGTAGATCATACATATAACTATATATAGGCTATAATCTTTACTCAGACCGTGGTATTGTCTTGTGAAGTTGAACCACATGAAGATCCGGGTTAGAATTGGTCTTTGGAAACCCATGCTTGTAAGAGGCGACTAACGGGATCGGGTGGTCAGGCTCACTGACTTGGTTGACACATGTCATCGTATCCCATTTGTGTAGATCGATGCTCATGCTGTTGATCAATGGATTGTCTTGTCCAGATTTGATTATTTACAGACCGCCACCATAAAGCTAGAATATTGCTGAGTGCGGCGTATTTTTAACTAAACTCGCTCATTCACTCTTGTGAAGTTGCAATCCTAGTTGGATATATGTTTGGTGGCATGTCGTTTATTTTCGTTTAGTCTTTTCCGAATTTACGCAATCTTAAAATAAATCCATTTACCAAAATTTCAACACATCTAAATGAAGAAGAGTTAATTTGTTGCATGTACTGATAGTACCTCAATAAAGACGTATTAATGTTGAAACGAAAACAAAACAGTCATTATTAATTAAACCACAGCTTACATAAAACAGACCCAAAAATAATTGAACAATTATGGTTACCAAAATTACAATTCGATAGCAGATAATACATTCTCCTAAGTAGATTATAATATTTAGGTAAATATCTACGTAGATGAAAGTATATTTGATTTTCTTTTTACACCGTCGTTATTATGTGCTTTTTTATGTATCAGTTTTATGAATATCTTGTTTTCCTGTCAAATCCTAAAACCATGTTTTTTAAAGTGTAAATTCTCAAAAAGCAAAAACCCGGTGACATGATTATTTGTAAATTAAGCTTCTGGAGGCATGATCAGACACAAAACATTTTTAAATAATCTAACTCCTACATGTATGTTTTCATATCTTATGTGTAACCTGTAGAAATCTGCGTCATGCTGTTCACTGCAACGGCGGAGTCCATCTTCTTCAACAGTGAATTTGTTTCTTCAGCAAATTAAGAACTCGCAGAAAAAGAAAAGACGAGTCCTGACCCAAGCTGCAGCAATGTACGCAGTAAAAGGTGTATACTTCTTCATACCATTTATGATGTTTGGTTGTTGATCGCCTCACTCTGCAATATTCCAGCTATATGGCCATGAATACACAATGCCATTGTGGTCAAATGTAATACATGTTATATTTTGGATTACACTTTCTCAGTAAAGTACTGATTCGAGTACTTTCGTTGGGATGAGTCCCATCTGGGATTCGAACCCACACTCTCCGAGTCATGCACCCAATCGCCAGCACACAAAGCCAGCCATCTAACCGACTCTCTCAGAAACACAGTCGCCCGTTCTTGTCAAGTGGGGTCCACGTAGCCGTTTGCTTAACAGAGCGGCCCGAAATCACCTGAAACCGACCTATCAAACGTCCGTTGGTATCCGAGCACAAAGGACCACGGCTAGTTTGATGTGAAGCTCGACGTCACTGGAATTCGAGGTCATTGGGAACGGGCCACTGGTCAGTCGATAGTCGATGCACAACGGAGTATCTAGAGCAAGTACCGTTTGGCAGGGGTTCATTGACGGTGTAGGGGTGCCTCTCACATGACTGTAAATGTGATCATTCAGACAAATTCTGAATGGACAACGGTACATCACTGACATCCTAGACAGGGTTCCTGTGCCACATATAGTAACATCCTCTGAACACAAGGCCAGTCTTCATGGACGACATTGCTAGGTCACATCGTGCCCGTGCTGTTGGTGATTTCTTTCGCCAACAGGCGGTAGCAACTCTTAATACTTTGGCCCGCCAGGGTTCAGTTCTCAAACCCACATGTTTGGGCATTATAGGTCGAAAACACGTCAGGGGAGGCTTCCAGCAATACCCCAAAGTCACATAAAGCGTCTAGGAGGAGGAGGAGGAGGGTCAGGGACGCTATTGCAGTTGTCGGGGGATACATCAGATTCTGACATTGTCCTCGGTTATTGGTATTTTCATGATTTGTTTGAAGACTGTATGCCAGAATCTTGAAATGGCGCACTTGTTAACGTCACATGACCACAGCTATCATCACAAGTAAATGTGGGCAATGTGGTAGCCTAGTGGTAGCCGAAGGCCCGGGTTCGATTCCCAACATGGGTACAATGTGTGAAGCCCATTTCTGGTGTCCCCCGCCATGATATTGCGGAAATATTGCTAAAAACTAAACTCACAAACTTACTCACTACTGAATGAATACATTTGTTGCCATGTTTGATTCTCGAAATAAACTACCAAACCGAAACATGAGTCTCATTAACCTATTCAGACAATGACCTACTTTTCAGCCGATCCGAATTTTCTCGTGTGAAAGAGAAATTAGACATCACAAACAACTATGTTTACACTGAATTCCAATTCCCTGTTTCATAAGAAAATGGTATTTACAAATGAAGTTTAATTTTAAACTTTAATAACATCGTATTTTGATATTTTATGGCGAGGTGTGGGCAGCATGACCTTAACTAAGATGCCACAGACTGACCCTGTTTGATGAGGTCGTAAAATGATTCACAATGTATCTGACTCACTGGTTACACCTGTTATGTGTTTTTTGCTTATTCAGAATAGTTCTGTAAGACACAATGTGATTGATATAATATCAATTCCGTACCAGACCGCCAAACATTTCTAGCTGCAGAGCCTCGTTTTGAGATTTCCACGAGTTCCATGTTTCCGTTTGTCGGAGCTCGCTGTACGACAGAGCACGCTGCACGACGTGTTTGCAAGGATTAGAAGGAGCGTAGTGTTGCAATATACAGGTGCTTAGATGTATCAAATAATACTGATTAATATTTCTGTATCCAGTTAAATGAATTGGTCTCAAAATTCTGGACGGGTTATTGTACTAAGTTGCGCAATAGGACGGAACCCAGTCAACGGGAAACGATACTGTTGTGTAATCAATGTTTTGACTTGGTTTTTCGTTCTTTTTGCGTTAAGATTATTTGCCATTTAATTATTACTTGAGGGTCAGCTTCTCCAGATAGTAAGTTGACATGATGTTTGGATAATATCCGTTGCCAAGGTAATGGTAAGATATCGATACTATGACAGATATGGAGTGTTGCGTTACTTTGTTCTATGTGTATAATTCTCACTCACTGCAAACACAAATGGTAAAAGTAATCATGTTAATCGTGACAACATCCCGAGGAATAGTCTAGCAGATGAAACGATTTGCTCATGACACCAAAAACATGATTTAAATTCTCCATATGGTACTATGTGTGAAAACGCAGTAAGAATTTCGGTTAATCCTATCATGAATGGATAGTCACCTAAACACCACTTGGCAGGCGATATTTCTGCCTTTTTATGCGCAACAGACGTAACAGCGTGGCTGTCAGTTCGTATGAAAAGAAAGTGTGAGCAATTAATGTGAATAAGGATTTTCAGTAAAATAAAATCATCTTAATTTAAGTACAAACGAATAATTATGGAAGCCAACCCAATCACTCTCTTTAACCTGACCGAATAGACAACGCTACCGCCGATTCTTTTGTAAATTGATGTTATGTGTTAAAGGGTTTTTTCTCTTCTGGCTCAGTCTGAAGAGAGATTTGATGTGTCATTTGTGACTTTTCACTGCCGGTACTTTTGTAAATGGATGTAATAATGTGTTAAATGGGGTTTTCTCTTCTCTTCTCGCTCAGCCTGAAGAGTTTTGATGTGTCATTTATGACGTTTCACTGCATCAAGAACGTTGCATAAGAACATCTTGTGAACGACACGTATCTATTTAATTGACATCACCGAAGTGAGCTTGTGGCGTGGGTTTCAATCCATGACATATTTTTCCATGGTACAGAAAAGATTTATGATAGTTTAACATGCTCTACACAAAGCCAAACTGCACAATCACCTTGGCATATACGGCCGCTTACTTGCACAATCCTCATACTTGGTTAGTGTCTATTTTAATAACTCGTTGATCATCATCATGGTCTGGATTAATGTTTTTTGTACGTAACTTGATTGTATTCTAAGATTCAGGCAGCTTTGTAGAAGTAGCAATGATGGGCCTACATGGAAGTTTTGAAGAAACAACAGCTTTAGTTACAGCATCATTCTGGGAAGAGTGAGTGAGTTTAGTTTTACGGCGCACTCAGCAATATTACAGCTATATGGCGGC